TCAGGCCGGCACCTCCGCCAGTGTGCATAAGAGCAAACAATATTTTCGACAAAAGAGCGGCCGAGGTGTCGGCGGTGGCTAATGGAGGAGAGTGCTGAACCAATACGCGCGGTCTGTAGTGTTTTAAACTGTTTACACTACCCTAAAGCTCTCAAGACAATACATACAAATTCGTCCGGTTGCATGTCGCCCAGAGTTAAGTAATGGCGGGCGATCGCAGTAAAAGACGGCGTATCGTATGAAGGTTGGAGCTTTAATTCACGGCAACAGGAAGCTTACAGCTCATTTATAATCATTTACTTCGTAAACTGATTACTCCGTTAATGATAAATAGTTTTGTAACGGCATATTTGATGGGATAGATGTACATGGAAATGTAATTTCCAACGTGCTATTCATTGTGGTTCTAAAGGGGAGCCCTTATTAACGTCTTTCGGGTAATGATGATGATACACAGATAGAGTTCATAGTAAAATATGTGCCATTCTTCATGCTATATTCTTCAAGGTGATTAATGCATTGATACGAATACGAGGTAGATATGCCACTAGCGCACCGAAACTGAGGCACCCAAATTACTGCAATTTCTGTAATTAAATTGCTATTCAACAGACTGCTATCTCTTTCCGCATCATACGTTCTATATCATCTGTCACATTTACATATATATCTCGTATAATGTAAAGCGGAACAATTTTTAAACGCCTTGCAGTATCGCCATGCGTCATCTATGTTATTAAACATCATTGCATAAATGACAAAAACATGACTTTTTAACATAAGAAAAATATCATGGTTTTACATGTAGAAAATGAAATCACTAAATTCTCCAGTTAAATATAAGACTACTCACACAATAACACACAAATAAGAAATAACTAAGTAATACGGTGTTAAGAGTAATTCGCCAATTAAACAACGGCCCAAGTGCGAGTTGTACTCGCAGACGAAAGGGTCCGTACCATTATCCAAAAAAAACGGGGGAAAAATCATTTCTATTATTTGGGAGCCCCATTTAAAATTTTTTTTTATTCTGTTTTTATTATTTGTTGTTAGAAATACAAATATAATTATGACCTGTGAAAATTTCAACTTTCTAATTTTCACGGTTCATGAGACTGGCGGAGTCTTAGTAATATAGTCCCGTTTTACCCTTTTGATACGGAACCTTAAAAAGTAGGTAATCTTCAACTGTGCTAGTACATGGAATATACAATTACAAAATTCTTTACTAAATTAAAACAGGTTGAACAAAAAAGTTAATAAGCTACGAAAAGATCCGAAAAATAACCTTTCCGACAAAAAAATATGATTCGAAATCACAATAGCGTATTTAATATATACTTGTCCTTTAAAATCTCTCATAAGTGAACATTAACTTATAAAGATACAACAAGGTGTAAAGAAGTCAAACCAGTTCGGTTCATACGTTGCCCTCTAATTGACAAATTGGAATCTTATTAAAATAAAAATCAAGTTCCTAACTGAGCGACGCAAGCGCAGGCAGTCGAATTTGATGTCGGCGAGATTGCCTTCCGATCGGGTGCCGAAAACGGCCGAGTGCTTACGACGAACACTCAGCGGCAAGAATAAAAAGTCGGCAGCATTCGAAGCGCGTGCCCCGATGTGTGTGGTCCACTATGGAGGTCCTCTTCGGCTTTTGATTTATTGAAATCTGATTTTCGCACCCTTTTCGGTTAGTTTAATTGCTGCAGCGTGCGAAATAATTTTAAGCACATATTTTATCAACGTTTCATGTATTGATCAGTGTGTCTTCTTAGACGTATTGCAATTAGTTTTACGATAAAACGGTGTTTTTGGTTGTCAAATCTAAATTAGTAGTCTACTTTACTGTTACACTGCAGAAATGGTAACATACTTTGTACTGGTTCCCAATTCCCAAGCTTATTTGTTATTAACCATAGCCATAAAAATACTTAAACATCACTCCGAAAATAAAGACTTAATAGAAATGTAAAATTTTCTGATAATTTCTTGTATTTACGCGATTACACATTACAAACGTGGTTATGTCAGCTATATGTTCCCAGCTCCACAGCTACATACATCACGCTTGATTGACCACAGACCCTTGTAAGAGAACTCCAATTCCTCCCAAGGATGATTCGGGAGGTTATTGAAATTAAAAAAACACCCTAATTTCAATAGAGAAGAGATGGGGATGCTATCATCAATAAAATTGAATCTAGGCCCAAACGAACCACTACTGAAAGACAAGATTCAATTAGCACCTTCTCCGTTAATCGGACACAAAATTCATAATAAAAAAGTGACGGTAGGTAGCCCGGAATACCTAGGACATTCAGACATCCAAGGCCTCAGTCTGTCTCGTGACAATGAACGCTGAAAAGGGTTCGAATCGAAAGACGGGGATTAATATTAAAAATAAACGCAATAATTCCGTATAGTTTAATTTAGTAGGTTAGGTACAACTATAAAAATAAAACTATTTTTACTTAAAGGAATTTTAAATAAAGGTAAATATAGATTGCAATTAAAAATATTAACAAATTCGATACTTTACTGTTAAAATTGGTTAAATAAAATACAACATTTAATTTTAGTCACATGATGGTTAAAATTTAAATCAAAATGGTTTTAAATATCAATCTACAGAATTTTCCTTGTTTGCCGATTCGATTTCGTATTTCTCAGCATCTTCTTTAACTTCTAAATCATCTACTGTCCTACTTACGGTTAAAGTATCAAAATTTAATTCAGGAAACCTTGGAATTAGTTCAAAGCTGTTTAAATCGTAACTGTTATCAGTAACAGTCTTCCAATTATTAGCTATCATCCGTAAAGGTTCCAAACATTGAAGACTTTGTTTCACTCGAAGCAACTCAATATTACATTGATTTTCAACTTCAAGAAGTTTTAAATTAAAAGCTTTAGAGAGCATTTGTTTTCTTATAGCATTTTTCTTCTCTATTTGAGCCATATTAAGAGTATTTTGATAGCGCTGAAGTTGTTTTTCATATGCAATTAAATTTTCATCGCAATTGAATGAACTACTCAAACAAGCCGAATATGAATTTGTTTCTTGTAATTGATTGTGTTCATGTTTATTCGAACACAATTTGTTGTCATTTATCATGGAACAACAACTTGGTTGCAAAGTTTCTTGCTGAGGTTTAATTTTTTCCATCTTCAGTTTTTCTTCGTGTAGTTCGTGTTTTAAAGATTCGATAATACTTCTACAATGAGCTATTCTTTGTTTAAGTTGTTCTTCATTGGCATCAACTTCCTGCACACGAATTTCGTGATTGTTTAATTTTGTACTAGGATACGATTCACCTGTTTCAGCACAAGTTTTATTCGTGCTTTCCTGTGATATTTTTATTTCTTCTACCTGATCCGTATTTGATGTAGGGAGACCATTATTATCACCACGTGCAAGTTTGATACTGTTCATCATGCCAATTTATAAATTACGAAGATACGCCTGTTTTAAAATACAAACAGTTTAATATAAAAGAATCTGTCAATCTGACATCTATATTAAAATAAAAACATTAAAATCTAAGCGATCATGATTATTTAAAACACAATAGTTTCTATAGACTTGATATATAACAAAGGTTTGAAAATTAAATAAATTGATATAAAGTAGTGAATTTTTTTAAGGACCTCAGAACGAATCGTGTGGTACTTCATACATAAAATAAAAGTTCATATTTCTTATTTTTTGTATACTTTACAAGTTTACTGTACAATTTTACCTGATGATGACCTTCAAAGACATACTTATTTTAACAATTTTGTGATTCAAACTCTGTTAAATAACATTGTCTTGTAAATAAATAATACACTTCATCTTTTCCCGTGTAGTCGAACATACCATTTTATATAAAAGATGAAGTGTATTTCTAGCTCAGTGATAGCTCAGTGTCCCGCCTATAATTTAATATACTCGAGCAACCTGATTTCGATCCCCGGTGCCAGCACCAATGAAATTGTCAATTTAAGTGCTGAATTACTTAATGAATTAATTAAATTATACATGCTCAACGGTGAAGGAAAACATCGTGAGGAAACCTGCATATTTTCGAAATATTAAAAAAAAATCACAGTTATGTGAAGTCCGCCAATCCGCAGTGCGACCCCGTGGTGGACTATGCCCTGATACCCTCTGTACAGAGGAGGCCTTTGCCCAGCAGTGGGACATGTATAGGCTGATGCTGCTTTAAAAACAATGAGATTACATATAATTTATTTACTAAACAAACGATTTACAAATAATCACGTGACATAATGAAATCACGAAAACCATCTTCGAAAGATAAAAATTAACGAGCCAGACGGAATGCTTCCTATTGCGTTAAGGGCGTGTGCTCCAAAGTTCGCACCAGTCTTAACGCATCTTACCGACCACTCCTAATCTCTGTCCCAAGTTCTTGGAGGACGGCGTTAGTGCACCCGTTCCCGGATCGGGTTTGGCACAAAGCACGTCTATCTAAGATCACTTCTTCCGGGCTTCCTGAGAAATTATGCAACTGGATCACTAGTTTTCTTACTCGTTGGAGCATCAAGGTCGCAAATTCGTACAAGCTTGTATCCCACAAGGCCTGTCTCCTACGCTATTCCTTCTGCATGTCACTAATTTTGTGTATATTTGGAACATTCATTGCTATGTGAATGAAACTACGGTTGACGTATTTTATACCGACCGGCCAAACATTTCTCCGGTATACGCTTAACGTTGACATATTGAGCGGTGTTCAATTACGCGGTCATTTGGAAGGAAAAGCAAAGCTGGCTTCCAAAATGCTCGGTGTCCAAAATAGATCGCGACATCATTTTCTGCTGATCCAGCTTGCAGTTCTTTTCAGCACGCATTCGGCCGCACATTGAATACTGTACTTTGTGGAACCAGTTGTCGCCAGCGGTATTTCCGAAAGCTTATTCCGATAACATTCAAAATAGAGCCCAATGTAGGTAACATTGGGCTCTATTTTGAATGTTATCGGAACGCAATTATGACTCCTCCTACGGCGCAAGTGTCCATAGGTGTCGTTGATCGCTTACCTCCTTTCTCTAAAAAATAGCAAGTACTCTACCATATTCTCTTGCCTCCCATCTCCATAAAAAAGCAAGTATTCTCCCGTACTCTCTCTCTCTCTCTTAACACTACATTTCTACCCATCGTTTTGTATCTATCTCTAGATCTTAGGATGTGGAAAGCTGTAATATCAAGCTCCGATTAAATAGATTGAGTGAGCTATCCGATTCCTCATTAACATAAGAACTTCCTAGCTTCCGCTCTGTCTAAGCAGTTTCACGAGCTTTGAAATATGTTTTACCCCTTTTAGTATCCTTAAGTTTATTTAAGTTTACTTGTTAAATCGCTAACATATTATCGTTATCTTTCTTTTCGTTACTTGTATTGTTCTAAATCTTCTGTTATTAATGAGGATTCTCAGGTCTTAAAAGCTTTTTTTCTTTTTAAGTGTTGCATCTTTATCTTCATAAGGATTCTCGTAAAAGTAATTTTTCTTTTTTGGAGGAACATCATCCTTTCTTGCTGATTTTTTCCCATATTGCGTCGACGTCTTAATCAAACATATTCTCTAAGTTGACTAATTACTACTCAGGAATTTTCGTATCTTTTAAATTTTACCATTTGGTGGGTTTTGAGGTGGTTTCTTCATACTTCATACTGGGCTGTAACACATTCTCCAGGAATTAGTTAGTCTTTATAGTTTGTTAATCGACAACGTATATAGTCGCTTCACTAATATGTAATTTATTTGCGAAAATGTTTATCCGCTTGTTATGTTATGTTCACATTTTTTCATAAAAAAAAAAGGAATAAGCTATAAATTAATCCAGGGCTGCTGATGTTGAAAGAATGATTGTGCCAAGCCAACATTATTTCGTTTGTTATATGTGTGAATTCCATATAGTCAGTCAAAAGCCTGTCGCTCTGATCTGGCCATTCAGACCACCCCCTAGCAAAATTGTCTAATTCGTGCATTAACATGCTAAAGTGTAAATTCCAACGATGTCCCAAACTTATCTTTCTCAACTTGACTACCTTGAATATGTAGAAGCTATATTTCGGACTTCTCCTTCCACGAGTAATTTAAGAGACATAAGTCTGTGATCAATAAACGATAAATTGCAAAATCTTTTTCTCAGCTGTCGCAATTTTATTCCTTCCATGCTTTGCATATAAAAATTCTTATGCACAAAAGTTTGAAGTCCTATATCATGTTCTATATCAGCTTTTGATCCAATCCCTTTTAGTTTATTAGCCTAGTACCAATTGCTATCTGAAGTAAATGATATTGAATAATAATAACAGCTAATTAAACGATTCTAAAGGAGCCGGATAAACACGAAACTACCATGCGTTTGCGAATCGGAAACCTCGCGTGTACCAGGGAACTTACTGTGCCTGGTGTATGTTTGATAGTCAATGATATTCGATGTGCGCCAGGCTAAGCACAGTTACGCAATTTCGGTTATTGACCCGTTCGGACCTCCATCCGAAAATCTCACCATCCGACAATACTGACATGTCGGATGGCGGTGGAACAATTGTATAACAAGCATATCAATTCATATTCGGCGTCATCTAAGAAGTTTATAAGACGGCACCGTATCCAGTGCATGGACCACGAGGGCGCAGGATAGATATCGGAAACCTTAAAGAATTTAATGACTATTTATTCGTTTAAAATATGTTATAGAAGTAAATAATTATCTATTCTTTAAAAAGTGTGTACAAATTAAGTATTGATTTTAATCTTTATGCAGTTTGACGTTCCGTATATATTACAGGGCGCCGCAGGCCTATTGCGCGTATCGATTTTGTATTACTTGAAAAGGGTTCAAGTGAATGGCGAGGATGCAATGCGTTAATCGTAGGTGCCGTCACCTACAGACCCTTATCGCTAGGTGCGGTCCGCCGCAAATGGCTTAAACCGCGACAAGCCCTCAATTTCCCTGATTATCGCTATCAACAGTATAAATAATTATGGAAACACAAAAACACACGCACACGCACACGCCAGCGAGGCTAAGGGATATACTAAGTTCCGCTACGCACCTGGCAGATTTTCCTTCGTTAACAATAAGAGCATTGCAGGAGTTACTTCCGCCTCTTCTTCTGAAAGCGCCAACGCTTTCCGAAGTAATAATAATGATTGCTTTAGAAATTCTTTTAGCCAGACTATAGCTATCGATCGAACCGAGGTCTGGGCCTCTCGAGCACCCTTAAATCGGGTATTGAGTAACAGCCCAAGCCAAGGTCCTCGGTGGCCCTTAAGCCTAGTTACTCCACGGAGCGTCCGCCAAAGCGGCCTTCCAAACCGGTGAAAATAATAATAGCATGACGGAGTTCAAAGATTCCCTCGGGAGACGGGAGCCCTCGAGCTTAGTCACTCATAATCGAGATACAGGCTAGGCTCCCTCAGTACCCGGCCACCTCAAGCTCGGTGGATCTCTAAAGGCCTACACAAGGCAAAAAATGGCCAATCCAATAATTGGATGAACCTTATTGGATATTAAATGCTTGCGTTCATAATTTAACAACAGAGGTAACAATCATAGTCAAACTACACAAGATAATGCACTTTTTTGATGATTAAAAATATTTATGCAGATTTATTATGGTCTAGATTTGAGTGTCCATAAAAAAAGTTTAACCGATTTATTATTTTTTTAAGCTCCGTTGAATAAAGTTACCTAATACATTTTTTATTGATACGAACGAATGAATTCTAATCGTAAATTCTACATTCTAGTTGGTAGCATTGTCTTTATATACTGAGAATTTGGCGGGAAAGTAAATAAACGTCGTTGTGACATGATGACATTTAACATCCCCAAGGCCCAAATTTTTCAGTTTGATTGACATTTTGGGTAAGAATTATACAGTTTAAAAGTTTTTCTTAAATATAACTAACTGTGTTTGAGAATTAACAGTGTTCATTGGCGAATGCATTGAAAACCGCCAAAAAAGAAAAGAAGCAGAAGAAGAAAGTTTTTCTTTAGCTTCATATAGGTACTTACGTATGTTATAGAATTTAAAAATGGGGCTTTTACAATTATGTGAACAATACTTCAATACAAGCAATCTTTATGATGTTTTACAAATATCTGAAAACGCTACAGAAAAAGAAGGTAATATTCTTTCGTTAAATTATTTATTTCATAACATTACTTGTTTACATTACACATATTTATGCGGTCGAAAGAAATGCCTGTTTAATATTTAAGTAATTTACAGTTAAGAAAGCCTATCACAAATTGTCATTAAAAGTTCATCCTGATCGAGTTAATGATGAAAAAAAACTGGAAGCCACTGAAAAATTTAAAGTTTTGGGTGCTGTACATGCCATTCTAAGCGATAAAGATAAAAGAGCAACTTATAATGACACTAAATGTGTAGATGAAGATGAAGACTTAATTACTGACCGTGATTGGTCAGTGTACTGGAGACTACTGTTCAAAAAAATCACTGAAGAAGACATTGTTGCTTACGAAAAGGAATATATTGGTAAAACTGGTCTCTTGTAACTAAATGTCGGAATATTGTATCGAAACTAGACACTTGGTTGTTGGTACTAATAGATTTTCCATATTTGGAAATTCCAATGTGCCAGATAAGTCCTATAACCTTGATAAAACATGGATAGTATTAATAGTTCACAGATGGTATTATTCAACTCAAAGAACTCAATAAAACTCATTTATTTTTATCAGTAAATTAATTAAAATAATTTACATGTTGTTTTTGAGTTTAATTCAAAATCTTTCTAACACAGAATTCATGGTCACAGAAAAATATATAAATTGTGTAAATATAAAAAATCAATGACTTAAAATAATGCTAATTTTATTAACATAGTTATGTTATTAGTTGGAATTAAAATGTGAAATAGGCAAAAAGGACACTTTTTAACTTAATAAACTTTAGTGTTTAGGGTGCTTAGGGTGCATATGCAAAATTTGTTACAACTTTTATTGGACTTAATCTGTATAATTGCTGTAATATTTTTGTCATTGTCTTGTATATTATATCATTATATTTGTTATTAATCATTTATTTTTAGTTAATAAGATACTATAATACTTAACTAATGTGATAACTGGCTCTTAGGTTCTCAGGAAGAAAAGGATGACCTCAAACATGCATATCTGACAGGAAAAGGTGATATGGACTATATTGTTGACCAAGTCCAATTTGCCCGCACAGAACATGAACCTAGAATCAGAGGGATACTAACCGTATGTATTAGACTTTAATATATCTTAAACAATATTAATATATTGGCTTCTACATTCAATTTGCAATCTGGTATAAAAATTTTGATTCAAACTGATGATACATGATGAAAAATAGGAACTTCTTCATGCAAAATTCCTAATTGTCTGGCCTTTTAATATTTAAACCATTTATCAATATGAATTTAATCCAGGAAATGATTGAGAAAGGTGAAATCCCTGCCTATAAAATATTCACACATGAACCAAATAAAAAAAGACAGAAAAGAATTGCAAAGGAAAATAGAGAAGCCAAGGAAGCTGAGGAACTGAAATTAGAATTAGGAATGGGATCAGGTATATAAATGAAATTCTTTAAAAATACAAATTTACTATAAAATATAGATATAACTTATTTTTTTTTAATCTAGAGAAAAACAGTTTGGAACTTATGATTAAACAAAGGCAATTGTCGAGAGCAGAGAAAATGGATTCCCTTATTGATAATTTGGCTGCTAAATATGGTGGTAGTAAACCAAAAGGGACTAAACGTAAAGCCACACAGAAATCTGAAATGAGTAGTAAAAACAAGAAAAAGAAGTAACTAGTAATATTTCTATAGAATTAATAGTTAAAGTAAAAAAACTGTATTCACATTCATATTTATGTAATTTATTGTATTATGAAACATAAATTAAAGGTCAAATACAGTTTAATAATTATTCACCATTTCCCAAAATTACATCCATGTCCCCATCTATATAAAATGGACCTTCTTCTATGTATTGCTGTAATCTTGCCTGTATATTGTCATCAAATGCAGGTGACTGAGATAATCTTTTTATAATATTATATTTAGCTTCTTTTCCTTCTTTCGAATCACTGACGGTACGATCTAGTAGGTACTCTACAAACCCTGAAATTTCAATACTAATTAATAAACTACTAAATTAATTAATTAAATATTGATGTTTGCACAGATTTATGGAGAGTACTATGGATAAAGTTTATGGTAGGGCCACGCAATAATGTGCCATATAAGTTTTCACTGTTGGAAGAATGGGCAGGTCAGTCTGGGTAAGTACCACAATCTCACTGATGACCAGAAACATTTCATCTGGTGAGTGAGGTAGCCAGCGTCCACTTTATAAAAGGTTGACAACACATCTGCAAACCTTGGGGTATTGTAAATGTCAATGGGTGGCGTTTATTTTTTATAATCAGATGAACCAATAACTTCTTTGCCATTTTTGGACATGAAAAAAGTTAATTTATGAAATGTGTCAACTACAATTACATTTTCGTTGCTTAGGTAAAGACAGCTTAAGGATTTTTTTGCCTACTAGTTGGTATATCAACCCAAGTATTTTATGTATCTAGAATACCAATAATTTGCATTAGGCAATAATTTAATTTCAGCAATAACTTGATTATTTAATAATTCAATTTAGTAATTTTTATATTCTTAATAAATATCAGTACATACTGGTAGTATGAGGATTCTTAGTAAATAATATTACCAACCTGCTACTCTTGCCACTTCCTGCTCACCCCATAAATGTTGGCATACTGCATCAAGTAAGTTAAAGCCAGCTAATTTGATATCAGGAAAAGGATTTTTACACATGTCAAATAAAGTCTCTGTTGCGCCAGCTTCTTTATTGATAGTTCTAAACCATTCTCTTGTCATTAATGTTACTCTATGATCAACAGGCCCATTATCTTTTGCATCCATTTCTACACTTATAAGACTAGTAAAGCATTGCGCAGCTCGAACTTTTACTTCTGTGGGACTATTCTTTATAAATGTTCCAATCTTCTCTACAGCGCCAATAAATTTGCTTCCTGTTGATAACACATTCAATTACACACCAATTATAATAAATTATATAATTATGTTTTTCAATTGTTTGTCAAAAGGCCAATTCACATGACCATGACTTCAAAAATGAAGAATTTTATAATCTCATAGTGAATGATATGTAAATTGTAGGGTTGATTAACTTTTTTATTTTTTGTGCTAATCTCGCGCCATGAGAACATCGGCCATTTAGCTTGGTTTGATCGTCTAGTAACTACGCTAACTAGTACTAACACATTACCAGTGTGTTCTGGCAAATATCTGTCCGATATTTGTTCCAGAACATACGGGTACGCGATCCCGAGTCCTCGAGCCACCACTTTCACACCTCCATCTAGCCCACGAAAGTAGTGTCCTTTTCCTGCCAATTACTTCTTTCTTCTCTCTTCCTCTCCCCTTAACTCTATTTCATTTCCAGAGAAACCTGGTTTTTGAGGTCAAATGACAATCGCTCCCTGTTATGGTTTATCACCGCCATTTCAAATGGTTAAGAAGAAGAAATGCTGGGTATGGCTTGGGCGTTGCCGCGCAGGCACATCGCCCTAAACCTAGGATAAGTGGGATAAGGCTACCGTGTCAAGTACGGGCACGGCTAAAGACTCCCGCAATGCCTCATGGAATATTGACTAACCGGACTTGCATAGGTACTTATGAAATTTCCGGTCTATGGATAGACCGATGCAGAGAGAGTTCTTGGCAGAGATGGAAAGTCATCTCTTGACTAACTCTTGCTCTTGACTAACCCCGAAACAGCTTATGATCAAGCACAGACAGCAATTAACAATAAAAAAAATAAGCGCGGCGGGCAGGCGAATTATCGGCGTTTCTAAGGGAGGTCGCGTCATCGACAAGGAGACGTAGTGGTGTTATAACAAGGTGCAGAGTCAATTCGGGGAATCTGCGTTTAGGGAGTGGCAACAAATCAACTCTCCCGAAGACAAAGTGCAGTAAATAGCAACCAAACTTGCCAGCGTAAGAGCTGTAGTCAGAGCCCGCAGTGGGCACTTATATTCAATATAAGATAAGCTAGAAACAGCGGAGGGACAAAAACTCATATACAAACTGGCTCTTGTCCGGGAAAAAGCGACGCAAGATAACAAAGTGTTTTCGTCAGTTATGCCCAAGGCATGCTACTATACAACCATGCCTTTGTGAAGGATAGATAGAAAATTTAGATGGAGTTACTAAGCAATCACCACACCCACAAAGCCTTCCATCCAAACATAGTTTCAGACTTAAACTGAGAAACTGAAGAACCGGAAAGCGGTGGGGCCTAACATCATACCGATCGAAGCATGGAAATCGTTGGGCTCTCTTGGTGAAGACGTGCTTACTGATCTCTTCAACCGTATCTTGAACAATGGAAAGATGCCGAATCAGTGGCATTTTAGTTTTATTATCACGACTTACAAAGGACGGGGCCGTGTTCAAGATTGCGGTAGTTATAGGGGGATGAAAATCACATGCCGCGCTATGAAGCTGTTCGAACGCAATATCGATCTCAGGCTTCGCCGAGAGTGGGATATAATAGGGCTCGGCTCTTAGTCCGTTCTTGGTTAACGTAGATACCTAGATGTGATCTCAGCTGACATACAGGATATAGGGCTCGTTGATGAGAGCCGGCTGGAACTAAAGCAAAAAGTAAATGTGTGGAACTCAATATGGCGAAGATCGAGTACATGGTTTGCGAGAGTTCGGACTCTAGCACGATCCAAATAGGTCCTGAAACAACAGTTAATTCGGAATCGATTACGTACCTTGGATCTGTTTTGCACCCATCCGTAAGCATCCACTATGACGTCAAAACAAGGATACGCGCTGCTTGGGCTAAGTGGCTTTGTCACAGGTATAGTCTGCGACCGCAGAATATAGCCCAAACTCCAAGGGACAGGTGTACGAGAGCATCATCCAACCGGTACTACTGTATGGGAGCGAGTGCTGGCCAGCTCTATCTCAGCACACTCAAGAACTTCACTTCACGGAGATGAAGATGTTAAGGATATGCGACGCAATGGCTGGACGTCGTGAAGCAGGATATGAGAACCAATGGACTAAACCCTGAGGATGTTGAAGATTGGGCAAAGTGGAGGAGTTTGAGTAGGAAGGTAGTGCCTGGCAATAGCCAGGATTACTGCCAGGTAGAAGAAGAGGTGGTTTGAGCGTCTAGGCGCATTATTTGGAAGGCAAAGAATTCTGCAGGCACCGAAAAATTATTCATAATTTATTTACGACAAATTCACACAACTTATAAATTTCAATAGCATGAATAACATCCCTCGTTCAAATAGTCAATGTAAAAATATTATGTGAAGTGTCAGCATGCTGTGTAGTTTGCACAGTAAATTACAAAATACAATATCTCTTAAGTGTAGTTAAAAAGTAAATTAATTGTAAATATAAATTTTATTATCATTACCAACTGCTGCTAGACACAATTTCCCTTCTGTTGTTTTACCGATAAAACCTAAAGTATCTAATGCCACTAGCAATATTGCTTGATCATCAGAGTCGATTGCATTAAATACTAAATTCAATGAAACAGGATACTTTTCTAATATTTCTTTTGGACAGTAATGTGCCATACTCCCAAAGAATTTCATGTACCCTGAAATTTTTTTTTGTAAATTAATGTAAGCATAAGAAAATAACATGTTATTAATTACAACTATAGGAATACCTGGTACTAATAGGCTTCCTAAAGGATTTTTATCTAGATCTGCCATTAATGTAGATATTCTTTTCAAATCTCCCCCTTTCACCAGGTATTGAATCCCATAAAGTTTCATAGCTAATCTTGACAACAGTTCAAGAATGTTCAATTGATACAAAACATCAGATGTATCTAATTCAAGCACCATATGCTCAATGTACCCATAATCAACACATAGTTTGAATAGTTCAGGAGATTTCAATGAAATGTTAATAGCAACCTGGAATGTTTAAAAAAATACTGAAGAATAATATTTACAATATTTAATAATAACTAAATTACAGCTGCAAAAGCTGGAATGTTGCCAAGAACACTTGGTGGAGTTTATATTAATATATACACTGAGTATGATCAAAATGAACAAGTCATGGTGAAAGTAATTTGTAAAATAGCCTTATGGACTTTCATGCCATTTTCAATGTACCACTTACCAGTGCCATCAAATTTAAACTCTATGGCACTCTCTGTATTATTAAATTAAGGGGAAAAAGCTTTTCATTTTAGTGGTCATAATATTAAAACTATTTGAAAATATATACAAAGTTATTGTAATGCATTTTATGACAAAGAAGTAAGTGAGAAGACAAGTCAATACAGATTTTCAAATAAGGGAATCTCATTTATGTCTGTCCATACTATAGGGATTAATAAATAGAAATGTGAATCAAGTTGTTTTTTACTTGAGCATTTAGTGACATTGCAGAAACATGTAATACAGTGGAACATTTATGAACAATGAAGTGTATTTTTCTATAAATTGCTGCCTAGTCACATTACTAAAAGCAGAGACATACCTCATAAGCATTACATTTACTGCTGCTATTATGATCTAAAGCAATTTTCATTTCTTCCAAAACTTTAGGATAAGCTTCAAATGGTAAATTAGATGTTATAAGAACTGCTTTATTTGCTATTCCAACATCTTGGTCACAAACCATTTGTGAAATAGCTACAAATAGATCAATATATTGTGGCACAGGTAAGAGTGATAGATCAGTTGTTACAGATTTATATACCTGAAACATAAATGGAATAAAACAATTAGGCTTAAAGTTTTGCTAAATATTAAAGTAAGGTAACAGCCCATATATGCATATCTGTGCCTGCACTGGGATTTGAGTTCAGGTTCCAGTATATTGAATTAAAAACGTCCGAACGCAACCATCATTACTATGCCAAATATAATTTGAAGTAATGTTTAGTAAAATACCTCTTCAATTGCAAGTCTCCTTACACAATCTTGCTCATGGCGCAGTAAAAACATAATATGAGCTATAAATTGTTTAACTACGTGTCCCACATCAAATTTTTCAAAGCATACTTTCAATACTTCGCATGTCAAATCAACATTGGACCTGTAATAGTATAAAAAAATAAATTTTATAGAATACATTTTGTTTTAGTTTCAAACATTACATTATTTAAAAACACTAACTTATCCTGTGCATCAACACACCGAATTATATTCGATAAGCCAACACTGGACAAAGTAGCTTTAGCTTCGGATGCTGGTTTAATATCGAACAAATTTTTAATATCATGTAGTATAGGTTTAATATCATTTTCTGTCTGAAGTTTTTTAACGAAATTCCGATATTGTTCTATGTCATTATTCGTCATTTTTAAACAAGAAAATCCAAACTTCCACCAAAAAATAATTTTACTACGCTATATGCTCAAAAATATCACCGGTGAACGTATAAATAAACAAAACAATAACAATCACTCACATTTGTCATTACTCACAGGCAGGGTAGGTATTACCGATATATATTGTCGATATTTTTATCGCGATATATCGATATTTGATATTTATTTTGGACTATAGGATTCGTGTCAATTTCAATATATTCATGGTTTCGTGTTTAATGTTTCTAGAAACTCTTTGCATGCTCCTCGTACATCTAATTAACTTTAAAAAAAATTACAACTATTGTCCTCATGTTTATTCTTTTTTACGAATTTTGAAATAGTTACGAATGAAGGAAATATGTATGAATAATCATGCGAAAACTGACGATATATTGATATTTTTCGCTCAATAATTATCGACATTTTAATTCGACATTCGAATGTTGATACGAAAAATTTCGATATATTTTTTTACTTGCTCATCCCTAGTAAATATATAGAACTGACATTTATAAAACTATCCAGCTTTATGCAGATAACAACAGTTCTAAATCCCTCAGGACTCCAGAATAGCGATAGAGGAGAAAGAGATTATGATTAGTTATCTTGTCGAAATGAATTTTTAGTAAGTACTAACTGGCAACTGTGTAACTATTAATTCACCACTATTTCAGAATACCCACATGCTACTACAGCGCTACTATTTTAAGCCTTTCGACATATTTCGATAGTTCTCCTTACCTCTATCCTCCATGACAATCATTACAGACAGAATCTACAGATAAAGAATAGGGTTTTTTAGGGTTGGAAGTGAAAGAAAATGAAGGCGTGTAGAAGTAGAAAGTGCGAAGTAGAACTAAAAAGAATCTTTAAAATAATTAGTAATCATTTAATTTAATTATGGGGGGACATTCATTTGTTTTCTAGTCTGGTTGGGTTTATAAATAGAAATAAATATATAGATATAAATATAATACATGTATAAATAGGACCCAACCAGACGGAAGCCCTTTTTTTTATGTGAAAAGTTGCCAAACGAGCAGACGGTTCACCTGATGGTAAGTGAATACCGCCGCCCATGGACATCTGCTACACCCGAGGGTTACAGATGCGTTGACAACCTTTTGAAAATTGGGCTCCGGTTACCTCACTCACCAGACGAAACGCGAAAGTATTTGTCATACTTCCACTTTACGCTGGTCTTCTTTGAGGTCGTGGTACTTACCCGGACGGGCCTGCCCATTCGTGCAACAGCCGAGGCTGTTGCGAGGCCCTACCACCGTTAAAACCACCGTTACCTGCCCTCGGCAGGGGAGATCAAACGGCCAAGGGTTAGGGTGAAAGGAAGAGAAACCGGCGGACGATGCGGGTGGTATCGAGGAGCACCGCCTTCTGCATTTGAGCTTGGAGTGATCCGTCCCGGAGTCCCAGTCGCCTCAGATGTTTGGAGAGGCTGACTGGGATTAACCCATTGGCAGAAACGACTATCAGGATAATTAATTTAATTAATTAAATTATTTTTAATTAATTAAATTAATTTAATTTAATAAATAGATAAGTAAAAAGTAAAGTAACAGCGTATAATTTTCCCACTGCTGGGCAAAGGCCTAGTCTGTAAAGAGGATATCAGGGCGTAGTCCACCACGCGAACCCACTGGGGATAGGCGGGCTTCACATATTTTCGAAATAATTTTTGTTATTATTTCGAAAATATGCAGGTTTCCTCACGATCATTCCTTCACCGCCGAGCACAAATTATCAATAATTGATAAATAATAAATTATCAATATTTTTTTAGTTTAAATATTTAGTTCAGACATACATACAGCGTAAATATTGCAGAAATGAGTATAGGATTGAAACGATGTATAGATCAGTGGGGAAGAATAAAACACGTCATAAACTACGAGGGCTTCAACTTCTAGTTACTTCGATGTTATAGCTATTATATATGCTTCAACTTTTGGTCTTCAATGTTATATTGAGAAAAAGACAACTACGCTCATACTCGATCTGAATGCTTACCTAGGCATAGGTTTCTGTGGGAGGGTAATGCAGCAGTTTTCGCTGTTGCACGAATGGACAAGTACGTCCCGGGAAGTACCATGATCTCACAGTATAATACTTACTGGCTTGAAGTGGAAGTGTTATACTTTCAGGTTTCGTCTGGTGATTGAGGTTACCGGGGCCCTACCTAAGATGGTGCAGATGTCCATGGGCGGCGGTAATGACTTAATAACGGGTAAACCACCTCCTCGCTTGACAGCGTGTATATGACAGACATAAAAAAAAACTCTAATTACAAAAGAAAGCAAGGCATTTGTGACTCCTTCGACGTTGCCAGTGTCCATGGGCAGTAGTAATCGTTTGTCATTTTTCGATAAAAAAAAACATGTGTACACAAAGGACATGTTTATTCGGCAAAAAGCTAAAAATCAGTACGCTAAACAAATTATCTTTCATATTATTCCCTGAAGAACTGACAGACCTTGGTGCCCTTGACGTGAAAATCCTGCTTGACGCACTTAAAAGTCACATCTTCGCAACAGTAGCTTCTACAGAAAATTTTAGTAATCAAGGTTCTTATAAATTTTGGCCACTCTGAAAAATCTGAAAATGCAATAGCAAACTTAACGTGACGCAAATAGTGCAACAACGCATTGTGCACTCTACTGTGTTCACAATGTGTTTTCTCTTTCAAGACCCAATTTATTTTTTTGAACCACAGAACTTTACTTAGTTTTCTATGACAGTACTGAACTTTATATCTGTATCAACACTTGAAGCGGCTTCCTCTACTATTTACAATCCGTTACGATTTTTCGTCAGTGCCAAAACCTTAATCATCTGCAGACTCGTCTTGAGCATCTTCCTCGTTAGTTCATGGTGTTTTCAATATACTTCAGGTCTTCGAGAGAGGTTTCGTAAAAGAATTCTTTCATCCGTCAGAGATTTCGTAAACATCCTAAACGGCATTCCATCAAGTGCTGTCATTCTGTATACCATCCCATCAAATGATCTATTGTATTCTGTGGTAAAGTGGTCCGTTAGTTTAGCCTTTTTTGCCGGCACTTGGTATCTCTAACTATCCTGAACATACTACGAAAACATCTATCGATATACACTTCTATACTGATATTATAGAGGAAAGATTTTTATTTTTCTGTTTATAACGAATAAACTCAAAAACCACTGGACAAAAATTCTTTCACCATTAGAGTGTTACATCATACCTGAGTAATATTTGCTACATTTATTATTACTCCTTGAACTCCCTCCTCGCCACGTGAAACACATACCTCCTGGAACAACTGTGTCATCTAAAATCGAACGGAAAGAGCCCCCCTTCTGAGAATACAAAAGTCGTTACTAGTGACAGACAACATAGATAAGATGTAAAGTACCGACATTTTTTTTACATTTGTAATACAAAGAAACTAAAGTTTCATCCAGATCGTACTATACTACCTTAATACTGTGAAATTTGGATAGTCAAAATGTCGTGCGAGCTACGATTTCTTATTAATTAAATAAAAACTCATTTAATTCTGATATTTTTATTTAAACTTCCTATACAATATATTAGTAAAAAAATTAACTGTACGAATTTTTTGCTCGCCAATCTAAAAACTCATCAATATCTGCATCATTTTCAGAGTCATTTTCTCCGTCTTCATTCATCAGTTCTACATGTTCCTTTTTCTTTTTTGTTTCTTCTTTTTTTAGCTCTAAATCTAAAACCCTAATACAAAAAGTTTACTGTTAATAATGAGTAATGAACAATACACGTTCTGTGGGAGGACCAACCAACAGCTTCAACTGTTACATGAATGGACATGCTCGTCCGGGTAAGTACCACGTACTCACAGAAAACCGGCGTGACGTGGGAATCATTATATTTTCGCGTTTCGTCTGCTGAGTGAGGTTACCGAGGTCCAAATTTTTTTAAAGGTTGTCAACGCATCTGCAAGACCCTCAGGTGTTGTAGATGTCCATGGGCGGCGGTATCCATATAACCTGAGGTGGAAGGCTCGCTTGAAAACGTTTTCAAGCGAGCCGCTGGTCCATTTAATATTTAGTGGATACCCGATCCATTAATAAATTATGATAAAAAAGTATTAATACTCATAAGGAGTTACTAAGTTACATAATTTGCGATAAATGTCAAGTTAGTAGTGAAAAAATCTGCCATCTGCAACTATTTTGGTTACACAATATAGGACAAGGGTCTTTCAAATATACTCTGTCTGTGTGTTACTCCTTCACGACTAAGCTGCAGAACCAATTCTGATGAATTTTGTTATAAATATAGATAGGACCTTGGAGAAAAAAAAAGCTAATCGAAGTACTAATCCATTGCAGCAGAAGTCGCGGACACTAACAAAAATTAGGAAATACCTAGACCAGTTCCTTATTTGTTCATCTATTTCGTCAATCTGTCTTTCAGCTGTTGCTTCCTCTTGTTCACCGGCTATTATTTCAGCAGACGTAGTCGTTTCTTCTTTGATTTCTTTTTGAAATTTTTCCCACTCTTCTTCGACAGGATCTTTGTATTCAATGTTTCGAACCTGAGAACGATAGGTTTTAATTAAATGTTACCTGATAATATCATTTTGCAGTAGTTTTTATTTTCTAAATCAATCGCCATATGTGAATAATTTAAAATGATATGCTTAAAGTTATAAACAATGTAATAAAATACAGGCTCATTTAAGTCAAAGGAGTATATTTAATATAGACAGAATAAATTAATAATTTAATTTATAGATTGGACGTTGCTATTACTACACATACGAGGGTTCTTTGATAACTATCCGTTTATGGAAAAATAAAACAGTTATTTTTGTTTAGATGCATTATTTTTCTACATAGTCAATTTAAACCCTATAGATTTGTTTCAGCTTGAATATTATTCAGCCGATATTTAAGCTTGAATAAACCATCCAAAAAATATGGAAAAAAAAGAAGTGTTTTTAAGCTATTGCATAGCTTTTCTCGCGGGCTTTGAGCGCGGCGACCGAATCAAGAATTTCCGTAACGAAAATAAAACCTAACACCCCCCACTCCGCCTACCTTGTAGCTCGGCCGAGCGTTCGCTTAACGTGTATGTATATGGTACGACTGTACGAAGCTCGCACGGATGGATATTATAATATGATATTGTTAGAAGATAGGAGGGTAGTAGCACACTGCGACGGCCTATAAACGGAGCAGCGCTCGCCGTGTCAAGGGACTTCGTCGTCAGCCGTTGTAGATTGCGTTAATAACGATTGTGACGGTTACTTACAATCATTATCAAACTTCTATGTAGTTTGGCCTACTGGCCAACAAATTCTTTTTAAAAAAATCAATCATCGTTTCTATTTCCTAACAATATTATAATTCAAGGGCGGATCCAGGGGGGGGGGGTCATGACCCCCATGGGCTGGGTAAAGGACCTAGGTGGACCACTAATTAAAATTGTTAAACATAATGTTTTTATATATTTTTCCACAATATAGATTTTATGTAAGTACCTTCAATATTTAATTAAATTAATATAATATTTTTAACGGACTTCAAAAGGAGGAGTTTTTCAATTCGATTGGTATATTTTTTTCGATGTATGTACACCGATTACGTTGAGATTAATGATCCGATTTACGTGATTCTTCTTTAGCTTAATGCAGAATAGTTGCCATTTGGTCCCATAAAAATTTACCATAGTTTGGCCAAGTAGTTTTCATTATATGGAAATTTTTACAATATTTTAATGTTAAATCATCAAATCAAATCTTGCAAATGAAATTTGATCTACTTCCCAGTTTCCGGTTGAGCTGAAATTTTGTAAATCGCGAGACAATTCAATATTTTTATGACATGGTGCTGATCTGATGATGGAGCTGGAAGAAGGCCAAAGGAACTTCGAAACAAAACGACAGAGCCTCATCGCGTTTGGGTACATTTTAATCGTATTGACGAGTAGTTTGTCTTTCATTGGTAACCAGGATCTGATGATGGAGCTCCATCTTCAGCCGTCCATGGACATATGCATAGGGTTGCAAATGCGTTTTCTCCTTATAATAAAGTTGGGCTCCGGCTACCTCACTTACCAGACAAATCGCAGAAGTACTTTACGCCGATTTTCTGTGAGATCTATGAGGCTATTCTGTGAGATTCGTATGACTACTCTGTGATGAAATGACTCAACCCCATCGATTTTCGGCTGGTTCGATTCGTCTTGGCGAGTACTTAATTTTTAGATGGTTACCAGAGTCAGATCTGATGATGGAGCTGGAAGATAGTCATCTGAACTCAGTAAAGAAACGACGCAACCCTATTGTGTCTCGGCATGTTTGATTCATTATGACGAGTTCTTTGGTGCTAGATGGTAACCAGGGTCTGATGACAGAGCTGGAATGTGGCCATAGGAACTCAGAAATTAAGGAACACAACTAGCGTCGAGTTTAATTCGTCTTAATTTAATAGGTGGACCGTTTTTGATGGGTCGTGAGATGAGGTGGTTTAGTGGACGTGAGTATGCGAGACCATCTTTAGGAAATAAAGTTTGTTCATTCAGTTTGTTATGAATGTGGATTCTGTCTTTGATTAGATGGATTAGAAGCGCTGAATATTATGATTGAATGACTGAATAATTTGTTTTTTGTTATTTATGAACATTTTTTTAATGTGGACAATGTAATTTTATTTTGTGTACGGCTATTTTAGGAGTTTTTGTTTGGGTTGATTATATATTATTATTAACCTGTGCCCCGATAGTCCCGTCTTAGGCTACTTGTCATTGAAGTGGAGCCAGCGTGCGGAGTAGAGGAATAGTGAATATTAAAACCAATACGACAACATAAAATTTATTTTACGCGCGATCATAACTAACAACCACACAATTTCGTTTCAAAAGTAAGTCGACGCATTTATGAATGACTACCGCATTGGTAACAAGTTTGTTGTTGTTTTCAGGGAATAGAATGCCAATTTTTTCTACCTTTTACTTGTATCTATGATTATAAAAAATTAATTATAGCTTCTCATCACTTGACCCCCCCGCCCCCCTGGCACCAAAGCTGGATCCGCCCTTCTTCTTCTTCTTCTTAATAATGGCTTGCTTTGTGAGTTATCACAATTCCGCCAATGTCAAGTTGTTAGCCATTACACGTAGGGGAATGACAGTTTTAAAATATAAATTTAGTTATCGGAGGTTACTGCTTTAAGCATGTTTTACTTGAAATAAAAGGACGTCATATACAGGACAACACATACATGAAACAGATAAAGTTGTGGTGATATAAAATTATAGTTTTAATTTGTTATGGGAAATAAATTTAGACAAAAGCTTGGGAATTTGATAAGGATCCGCCCTTGTTATAATATTATATTATCATATGATGATGTGATATTTAGAGGATGTCAAGTGTCAAACTTTTGTTTCTTAATTCAGTTACCATAAACTAAGTTTCAATGACAAAAATTCCTGAATAACCTACATTTATTGTAAGATAATAAAAATATTTTAAACGATATTAACTTCTCATTTATTCAATAAAAGAGAAAAATGTGTTCTCTTATCGGTCACGACGCTCAAAAAGTGTAACTTGAATTAATATCAAAGAAAAAAAAAATGCATAAATAAAAAATAAACAATTATAATTGCATTATAATTGCTATGTAATAGCTTTACCGCGGCAGTCTCAGAGTAAATTATCAACCTATACATGTCCCACTGCTGGGCAAAGGCCTCCTCTATACAGAGGGCATCAGGGCATAGTCCACCACGCGGCCCCAGTGCGGATTGGACTTCACATATTTTCGAAATATTTTTTTATATATCTATATTTTTTTATATATCTGAATCAGATTTCGATTGCAAATATCAGATTTCGAAACTATGTATTTCAATATCTAGATATTTTACGTTCGCGTATCCACCTTAAATTCATAAAAAAAAGTGATCGACAATATTTTTTTTCTTTTTCGTTTTGTGTACTTTTATTTTTTTTTTTCAAAAATGCGAATAAAATTTAACTCCTAAAAATTTTTCTTCCATTAATTTAGGAAAAAAAATTCCTAAGTTGGCATCCCTTACGCACTCCAGGTCAAGGCTAAACAAAATTTAAAGACATCGTTAATACGATGATTCCTATTTAAATGATTCCATGCTTTTAAAATTCAAAACTGCTTAACTTATTCATAAAATCTGTTTGAAAATCTGATATTGTGCACTGTTTGCCGTACCCCTCTAACTAGCATTATATTTTTATCTCACGCGCTTTGTCGCTCGCTACGGCTCAAGGCTAATGCTAAATAAAAGAATTAAAAGATATCGTAATCGTTGATACCATGCTTAGTATTTAAATGAAACGGATCTTATTTGTATGCTGTTAAGAAGCAAAATTACTTAACTTATTCATAAAATCTGTTTAAAAATCTGATATTGTTGCGGTACTGCTCTAACTAGTGAATATTTGTATCTCACGCGCTTTGTCTAAAAATCTGATATTATAGCTATAATTTAAATGAAACGGATCTTATTTACATGATGTTAAGATTCAAAATTACTTAACTTGTTCATAAAATCTGTTTAAAAAACTGATATTGTTGCCATACTGCTCTAACTAGTGAATATTTGTATCTCACGCGCTTTGTCTAAAAATCTGATATTGTGGCAAACGCGTATGATATCGCAATTCGTGTTGGTATAGCGAGTTAGCGAGTATTAGAGATGGGTCGTATCGCTTTTTCTGAGTACCGTATCTGAATCAGATTTCGATTTCAAATATAAGATTTCGAAACTATGTATTTTAATTCAGATATTTTACGGTCCCGTATCCACCTTGAATTCTAAATAAAAAAAACAAAAAAAAATCATGATAAAAAAAATCTATGAAATTACCATTACTATTACCATTACCCGTGATACCAACTCTTCAAAAATAATACTCCTAGATAAATTCGAAAACCCACTAAAATTGACTAAATTCCAAAAACTTACTGAATTTAAAATCACGATTTTTTATACTATTAAGGTAAAATTTAAACATTACCAAACAAAATTACCTGATTACATTAAAGATTTTATTAAAAATAGAAATTGAAGTAATATAAAAATGATTTATTTTAACATCTTATATATCGCTTAATAATTGACTTTAACATATTTTTAGAACACGCAATCATGAGTGACAATATTTTTATAATTTGTGTAAGAAATAATACATTCAGTATTATAACTTAGGGCGGATGAATTTAAAATATACACACAAGGCAAATAAACCTTGGTCTGATTTCCACCAAAGCAGCACAGCACTATTAAATGATATTTTTCTTTTTATGTAGTTTTATTTTTTTCCAAAAATATGAATAAAATTTAACTAATAAAAATATTCACAAAAAATTTACCTCCTAAAAAATTTCCATTGTATATTTTTCATCCCTTACTATTACGTGCTAGGTACCAATGCAATCCAACTCAAGGCTAAACAAAATTTAAAGACATCGTTAATACCGTAATTCGTATTTAAATGCAACAGAATTTTTTCCATGCCGTTAAGATTCAAAATTACTTAACTGCGCGCTTTGTCGTCCGTTACGGCTCAAGGCTAAACAAAAGAATAAAAATATAATAATATCGTTGTAGTACTCGTTGATACCATGATCAGTATCTAAATAAAACGGATCTTATTTAGATGGTATTAAGATTCAAAATTACTTAACTTATTCTTTATATCTGTTTAAAAATCTGATATTGTGCCTTGCTTGCCGTACTGCTCTAACTAGTGTAATATTTGTATCTCACGTTCTTTGTCGCTCAAAATCTGTTTAAAAATCTGATATCGTGCATTGCTTGCCGTCCCGCTCTAACTAGTGAGTATTTATATCTCACGCGCTTTGTCGCTCGATATCTGTTTAAAAATCTGATATCGTGCATTGCTTGCCGTCCCGCTCTAACTAGTGAGTATTTGTATCTCGCGCGCTTTGTCTCTCGAAATCTGTTAAAAATCAGATTTTGTGGCAAACGCGTATGATATCGCGATTCGTGTCGGTATAGCGAGCGAGCACGGTACATCAGATTTCGGAAATATCAGATATTGTAAAATACTACATAGATTTTGAACGAGCTAGTAAGCGATTTTCAGATATTGTACCAATATATAGTTTTGATATCTGATACGATTTGTATCGCCGACTTCTAAATGTTGGTAACACTGATTGCCAAAAAAGTCAAAATAATAAAATATAAGCTCGGTGGTTAGTGGTTAACTGGTTACATACTATTCGATAATAATCTAAGTATTGTAATTAATTGTGAATGGATTTTAGAAAAAGCCTTCGTATTACATCTATAACAGAAAGCAAATGTCAGTGCCGTATTTAATTAAAAGAAAAATATATCGTATCCTTAATTTTAATAAAGTTCATTACACTCAATCTACCAAAATGGATAAGCCTAGTATGATAAAATTGATAAAATCTTGCATTCCTCCTTTAGACGGTAAAAGTCATAAGGGTCAGGCTGGAAGAATAGGTATTATTGGAGGATCTGTAGAATATACCGGTGCGCCATATTTTGCAGGCATTAGTGCTCTTAAGGTAAGTTGTCTACAATTAACAGAAAAATCTAGTTTTTTGTGTAGTAGACCAAAAACTCAAACCTAGAAATTGCTAGTTTCTATGATTAGAACAAAAAATAAAGGAAGTATTTTTAACTTTGTTGTATACATTATGAATATAAATATTAATTTTTTAGTTACCATTACACTCGTTTTTACAGGTTGGAGCAGATTTAGTACACATATTTTGTACATCACCCGCAGCCCCTGTTATTAAGTCCTACAGTCCTGAATTAATTGTTCATCCCTTGTTAGATCAACCAAATGCAGTAAATGAAATATCACCTTGGTTGGATAGACTACATGCTATTGTAATAGGACCTGGATTGGGAAGAGACACTAAAATATTTGAAGTAGTTTCAGAATTAATTAAAATCATACACAAAAAATATATCCCCCTAGTTATAGATGCTGATGGTTTGTTTTTATTAAATCAAAATATTGAATTGATAAAAGATTTTTTGTCACCAGTTATACTGACTCCTAATAGTATTGAATTTGAAAGGCTTTGTGATAAATTGAATGGGCAGTCGGGTTTCAATAAGTTGGGTAGAAATATTATAATCTTAAAAAAAGGAAATATAGATGAAGTGTTTTGTGCTATAAGTTTTGCTCAGTGGAAAACAAATATAGGTGGCTCTGGTCGTAGATGTGGAGGTCAAGGGGACATATTATCAGGGTCTATTGCAACATTTTTGCACTGGATGTCAACCAATGTAGAAAACCTTAATATTACTTCGGCAGCTGATAGAATAATTATCACATCATCCTTATCATGTTATGCAGCTTCTCTTTTGGTTAGGATGTGTAATGAAAAAGCATTCAAAATGTATGGTAGAAGTATGCTTGCTTCTGATATGATTGAATATATACATGAATCTTTTCAAGAAGTTTTTGGTGAATAAGATAAACATTGTTGTGGCCAAATTTTTTTATTTATCTATTTTATATATGGTTTTTTTTATAATATTTAAATCACTTGAGAATTTGTATGTGAGTTATATTGGTTAATAAAATCTTAAAAATTGTGTGATCTTTAACTTTATTTTATAACATTTTATTTTTATTAAAAGCCAAAAAAGTTTTATTTCATCATGTAGTATTTGTGTAAATACAACATATATCATTATAAGTCACTATATTTCAGTGCTCTGTGAGGTGATTATTTATCCTTCACCTTAAATAGGAATAAGGAAGGAGGAATTATGTATGTTATAAATACTGGGAACAAACATAAATTGATTTTAAGCACAATAGACTTCATAAAATAAGTGACTCTTATGGAACATATATACATTTTTACAACAAAATCCCAGAAAACATTCATAATCAGTTGCTAAATTTAAAAAAAAGGTAAAGGAATTTTTGTGTGTTAAAGGCTTATAATATTAGTTACTATTCAAATGATAACACATACTGGAACTTACTAGACACTGGGAACTTAAAAAAAATTAAATTGTAAACATGTTTTTTTTGTCAAATATTGGTTAAAAAAATTCATTCTTCTCAGGTCAGTAGCTTTCTTTCTGATCAGACAGTAAATATTTTGACAATCAATAAGTTAGTGAAATGCAATATTGAATAAAAATATTTGAATTTGAGGAATTATAAAAGGTGGACTACCCATTGATATTTTTTACCAGGCTACCTGGGGCATAAACATTGTTTAGATAATAGTTGTGGTAGGTGCATTCATTCAGAGTAATACTTTGGAATTAAAAAGTATCAAAATAAACATATTTCTTTTTTATGGAAATCAAGGGTGTTCACAAAAAAGTGAGGAGATGAACAGAAGATCCATCCCAGATCCAGGGTAAAAGACCAACACTTCTGGAATCCACGTTTGGAAACATATGCTATGACAGTTATTTACAGACCTCCCCACATAGTTGGTATAGGTAGTATGTAAGCAGCGCCATTCGGTATGATGGGTGGGAAGTCACAAAGGATGTCAATGTGTTCTCTTCGTGATGAGTTTCATTACAGTTAATCACATAACATGGATACACATCATATGGATATAATATTCATTTGGACATTGTCAATTACTTGAGGATTATCATTATAGGATCTACTTAAAGGCGAAAATGAAATGGATTTATGTTAAAAGGAATCTTTAATAAATTTTGTATAATCTTTAAGGTGAGAAGGTGAAAAAAAAGAGAAGGTGACAAGAGAGCTAGTAGTTCAACAGACGTTAAATGATAAACACACATTAACATAAAACCCATATGGTTGCACATCTGCAATACCTACTAATAAAATGGGCCTGACTACCTCACTCACCAGATGAAACGCAGAAGTATAATACTTCCACTTCATGCCGGTTTTATGTGAGGTTTTGGTATATTCCCAGACAAGCCTGCCAATTCGTGCAACAACAAGGAAAAAAAGATACAGACTGCAATGAATTATCATCTATATAATTTACTGTACTATTGATACTAAAAATATAGAAGAATATGGAATTCTTAGAAGGCTTTGGCATATAATACCATTGTGGAATATCTTGATGTCGCCATTGTGTGGAGTTAATATTGTTGATACTCACATAGGCTAAAATAAGACTTATACCTATACTATTACATTGTAAACCAATCTTTTTAAAAAAGAGCAACTGTTGCAACCAGCAAGATTCTTGCTGGTTTCTTCTCAAAAGAAATAGCTCTCCGAACCAGTGGTAATTACTTGCTTATGAACATTTTTTAAGTAAAATTTTGACCTTTCATAATAACTCGTAAGTGTTTATGTGAATAAAGATTTATTTTGAATTTGAAATTTTACAAATATTAAGTGACAATCGGCTATTAAAGATATATTATTATAAATAATAAACCATTACTAACCTTTGCGTCTAAAATTGGATCATCAAAGAAACCTTCTGGGATTGGTTGATCACTGGTTGTCGGAACTTTGGAATCTGCCTCTTTAACTTTGCTTGTAGGGTTTTCTTCTTTTGAATCTATGCCTTAAAATATATTATGGTAAATGTTTAGCAAATTTTAAAATTAATATTGTAATTTAAAAAAAAATGATGTGATAAAGAGAAATCACAAATGAATTAATGAACAGAATTCTCTGGTCGCTTATAGTTTTTGAGAAAAATAATAATGAAATCTTGTAATTTTCATTAAAGAAATCAGCCATGTTGTTATTGTCAAAATGTAGTTCCTATATCTGGGTGGTCATAAAAAATAACCATAGATTCTTCCCTTACCTGTCCTAGGCCGATTGCTCTGTGTCGGATGTCTCATTAAATTTAAAAAAAAATTATCAATACATGTATGACATCACCTATTTCCTATATTTATCATGTTGCAGTACTGTGCATACAGTTTTTGAATAAAAATAATAAAATGGCGGACTATCTCAGTGAAAATAACATTGTAAATAATTTTTTTCTCAAAAAATAAAAGCAATCGGAAAATTCCACTTATTAATTAATTCATTAGTGATTTTTCTCTATCATATATATTTTTTAATTGCATTATCAACTTCGACATTTGCTGAACATTTGCCAAATATATTACAGATTTAATATTTAGTGTGATATACCTAAATAGACTGCAACATAATCTATCACCTTTTTGAAAATAAATTTTCAAGATTATTTTAGTAACTCAGTTGTGTTAATATATGAATGAAATTTATTTTTTGTAACATATTGAAACATACATTTATTGCTAGCCAACGTCAGCGGATCCGATCTCTTGATTGCTTCATTGTGAAAATGCATGACAGTAGGCACATTAAGTTTTTGTTTTATGACTGTAATTTCTTGTGTATTTTTCAGGATTCCCTTCAACTTCTTTTCTTTTGGTTCATCTGATGTAGATGTGCTTGGTCTTTTGTTTTTAATCTTTCCATCAGTAAAGTTATTAGTCAATGCTTTTAATTTTTTAGCTTGCTCCACATTATCTCTATGTTGTTTACTATTTAAATGAACTTGCCATACATTTTCAGACCGCACTATAGATGAACATAAAATACACATAAGTTGGCCTGCATTGTTGTACTTTGCAAGTGGGTTGTTTATTTTGACAGGTTTTTTATCCTTATTTTTACGTTCTGCCATCAATTTGCGCATTTCTTCCAACGTCTTTTTCTTCTCAACTTGCAAGCGCAACGACATTTTTGCTAACAACCAATACTAACATGAATGTAATTACACAAGAAAATACAGATTTTGTTGTGTACGTTTGTGAATTGTGACACGACCGACAGTTAGATTTGACGGATGACAGGCTGACCCAACACACACAACTTACACTTCGTTTTCTTTTTATTCTTCTTCTTCTTCTTTTTAATAATGGCTTGCTTTGTGAGTTTTCACAATACTGCCAATGTCAAGTTGTTCTTAAAATTCTCAATTTTACAATATTCACATTAAAATTGAAATAGACAATTAAAAACTTCAACTTCAAAAATCGACACAACTCAGACATTACATGATTACACAGTATGACAGTACACACTGACTGACATTGACAATGACAATGCAATGACAATGACAATTATTTTAGATTCTATCTATGTTTTTTTTGTGTGACTGGTTGCCGTCAGTTCAAAAATCGACACAACTCAGACATTACATGATTACACAGTACACACTGACGGACATTTTTGTCCACGATAATAGAATATTCTCATGGCAGCTTACCTATTCCCTCAAAAAGATGTGAATATTTATGTATGTTTATAGCATCAATTCGAGATAGGAGCCCAACACGACACAGCCTTCTAAACGCAGAACAGTTGGCCAGTTTAAGTCTGCTATAACAAATAGCAAAATATATTGTATATTTTTATACATAAACCGCAAATCCACCATAAAAGACAAGTTATTAACAGTGAACGATTGTATGCGCTTATCAAAAGATTTAACCTACGTACCCAAATTAACATAATCATTTTTTGCAATAACATTTAATATAGGACTTGTATCTAATTTAACTTGCACTTTTTTTCCATTACATTGAAAAGTAAGAATCCACTTTTTAGGTAACTTACATTTATTATTCTGGTTTATCATTTCCACATTTACACATTCCTACATCGGAGGCCCTTTTGGTATTGCATAAACTCAAATACTTTATCATGTATTTTTTGTATACACATACTTTAGCAAAATGCCCTTTTTATCGCACACAAAACACAATAAGCACTCACTCACAAGCACTCAGATGCGACAAAGATCGACTGCCGTACACCAAACATTGCCATACGCCACACATTAGGAACGCGACGCAATTTAACCGGCACCGAACTCTGGACTGCAGGTGCGGGCGCAGCGTCACATACTACGCTACCGGACTCCACTGAATCGTGCACTGCCGTAGCTGCGTGCGCTTTCACCTCTCACAGCGTCAACTCTCATTTCATTGTTTGCGAGGTCGTTCTCGATAGATATTTTTGCCACTTGACAAATCTGAACTGCCTTTTCTAAAGTTAAATCATCCATACGTAGCAACCAATAACGTACTTACGTATGTATTACTTATAAGACCGCTAAGATATATTCGCTATCTCTATTTATACTATACTATATCTATCTATATTTTCGCCTTCCTCTTGGCCTCGAATAAAAAGCTTAAACCGGCCCAACGTGATGAAATAAATGAAAGAATGAAATATACTTTATTGTACACTACAACTGCCATTGAAAAACGAACAACAAAGAATACAAATCTGTACAATGGGTGGCCTTATCGCTAAATAGCGATTTCTTCCAGGTAACTTAGTAAAAGGAGATAATACACAGTAGTATCGAGTAAGGGGTGCCATAGATTACATTGGTTAAGGAGGCATGAAGTGTTTTTTTTTAAAGTCGCTTGAAAATAGGTAGCGATTGTGCCCGCTTAATATTTAGTGGGAGAGAGTTCCAAAGCCGAACAGCTCCCACGGAAAGGACATGGAGTAGGAAGATGTACTATGGGAAGGATTTCTGTAGATTAAATTGTCATCGGAGTGGAAAGATCGATCTGGGTCTGAATCACAGAGATACTCAAGCCGCTTCTTAACATAAGGAGTTGGATTGAATAGAACAGAACATAAGAGTGATAGAAGGTTAGTATTCCTGCGAAAGCGGGTTGGCCACTAGAGGTTATGGACCATTTGAGCTTATTGAAACGCGGTCATATTTACGAAGTCCAAATATGAACCGTATGCAAAGATTTTGTGCGCTCAAGTTTATTAAGTTGTATTATGAAAAAAAAAATGTTGAAAATAAAAAGTAAAATTTTGATGAAAATTAACAGCAGCAAACATCCTTCTACTCACTTCACTAACCTGGGAACCGCAAGCAAGGAATTTATTGAATACAACACTGTAACGCGCCCTTTTCAAAAGTCGCTCGGGCTTAATAGTACTCGCGGATTGGACGAATCCCGGGCGGCAACGCAAGAGCCAATCGCGGCTCAAAGTCATGACGCGCCACGCGGGAGCGACCGATTGAAAATACGTTCCCGCCGCTCCCGCGCAGTTCGACAACCGACGCGTTATAGTTAGTATGCTAATAGACTGTAATTGTATACCTAACATAGAACTAGTTTATATTCTTATAAGTATCTCAAGTGTACTCTAATTGTGTAACTACTTACGAGAATAAACTATTATTACTATAACCAGTGGTATTTCACTTCACATAACCTAGTGCAGATTGAACCCAACAGAGTTAGCCGGCGCTACAACACCTAAATTTTTAACCGTATCGCTTTATTGTAATTGGACCCCGTCAAAAACTATACTGGGCAGAGTAGTCCAATCAACTCGTGGAACTAGAAAATAAAAACACAAAAATCGCAGGTAGGCAGCAAAAGTATAAAGAAAGATGGTTGAGCATATGTTGCATCCTTTACATGATAGGTGGCGCTGTAACATCCTGCCCCCCGTTGAAAGCCTGTCTTTCAACTTTCATCTTCTTCATTAAACAGTGGGCCGAGACGAACAAGTGCTCTACGAACACAGCCCTTAGTAGTGGCAACATCAGCGACACGATCTATTCCATCTGGACCAGTGTATAGTTTTGAAATTACATAAAACCGGGACGTGGTCTTCTTGAAGTAAAACCAAATCACCAATCTTCAAAGTTCTTGTTTTGGTTTTCCACTTTTTTCGAACTTGCAGTTCAGCAACATACTCCTTTTGCCACCGCTGACAAAAATGCTGCCTCAACCTTTCCACTCTAGCATACCGTTGGAGGTTGCTTTCTTTGTTTTCTAATAAATTTGGAGTTGCAATTGCAGTCATTTGTCGCCCAATCAGGAAATGCCCTGGGGAAAGGAATAGGAAGTCGTTCGGTGAGGATGAAAGAGGACATAAGGGGCGGCTATTTATGATGACCTCCTCTTGCGTAAGTAAAGTACCTAACTCCTCAAAGATCAAATGTGTATTTCCCATAATTCTACGAATATGATATTTCGCGGATTTTATAGCGGCTTCCCAGATCCCGCCAAAATGAGGAGCGTAACTCGGTGAGAAAATAAAATTAATACTTTCTTGAGATGCAAATTCAGACAGAGAATCTGCATTGTTTTTAAGAAATATATTCAACTCTTTAGCGGTAGCTGTAAAATTGCGACCGTTATCACTAAAAATCTCTAACGGCTTACCACGCCGCGCGACAAATCTACGTAAAGTCATCATAAACGCATTTTTAGACAAATCAGAGACTGCTTCCAGGAGGATAAGGATTATATCTCAAGCACACGAATAAACACATATAAGCCTTTTGTAAGCGGGCACCACGTCCTTTTCGGTTAACAATTTGAAAGGGGCCGGCAAAGTCTACTCCTACTGAAATAAAAGGAAAATCTGGAGTTATCTGTGCATCCTTCCAGGAGGAGGGAAAACAACCGCCATTGATGGAATGATTAAAGATAGACACAATGACAGGACCTAGAAGGTCGAGGAGAGGATTGTTCATTTTACGACTAACACAGTCAGAACCGACAGCATCGGAGATAACCTCCATAATACTTCTCTTATCATCACTACAGTCGATTTGGGTAGATACGAAAACGGGATCATCAGGAATGGGTAAAGCTAAAATATTATTTTAGTATTTTGTTTTAGGGTATTATCAATAGTACACCATGAGGAAAAATGCTGAGTGAGCTTATTTAAATCGATGGTTCGACAATTTGAAGGACAATTTCTACTCGCTTTCCCAACCCCAAGAGATTTCTGAAATTTACATACTCATCCGGAGTCTTCTTCCTCGAGAACACTTTTATGGATATGGCGTCGTTGTTCATCTCTACACAATCACTTCATTCCGCTTCGTGCTCTTGTACGTAACGGATCGCTCTCTAAGACGGAGGGCTCATCCCACCCGAATTAGACGCTACTCGCAACTTCGGTTGCAATTTCAATCTTTGTGCAAGCAGTGCAGTAGTTCAGTGTTAGTGTAGTGCTGTGCTCATAGGCAGGTTCCTGTTCTGTAAGTAGAATTCTATACACACTTCTCGCCTCAGAGGCGGCATTGTTTTATTTAATAACTGTGTGCTTGTTGCGATAGGCGATAGCTAGGTACCCACCCTAGCGCACCTAAAGCGCAGGTGAATTAGTTGTTATTTTTAGACACACACCTCCCTGTTGCAAGGTGGGGAGGCCTATTTAGTTAACTACACGCCGGCGGGGCGCAAGCCCCAAAGGCTCAAGCGCTCGAAATGGGTTCCGTCCTAGAGGAATTCCTTCGCCAACGATGTCCCGAAGTGTGGGCAAACTTTCTCGCGTTCGCGAAAGAAAAATGTTTAGTCGTCGAGTTCGCCAGTGACAGCCCGACTTCACCGGCAATTGCCTCACCGCCATCTCCGGTGCCCTCTGCGCCCGCTAACGAGTCGCCTTCAGCGACAGTAGTTACGCCCGTCGCGTCGACTTCCGCCGCTGCGATCGAACGGCGCTATTTTATTCAGATCGCAACCTTAGTCAACTAACCACTCGACCCCAAAGCGCCGCTGACCGCCTCGGCGATTGGTTCCGCAAATGGAGAATAGAAATAAATCCCAAAAGAGTGTGGCGATTCACTTCACAAGAAGTACTTACCCGTCACATCTTTATAATGACCCTCGCCAATGCAAAAAGTTGGGGCAAATATCCCTTTATGGCCAACCGCTCCCCAGGGAGAAAAAGGTCAAATACTTAGGAGTTATTTTCGACTCACGTATGTCATTTACTACGCACGTTAATAACGTTCACAATAGAGCTGCGTTCGTCTCCGGCCGGCTACACAATTTAACTAACGCTAGAAGCAAAATGCCCTTAAGGAACAAATTATTATTATATAAGACCTGCGTACGACCTATTACGTCCTACGCATGCATGACTTTCGCCCACACGCACCCTACTCGCTTGTACAAGTTGGAAATAGTAAAAATAAGTTCATCCGCCGCGCAACCGGTGCGCAGTGCTATCAACGCAATGTCGACCTGCACAACGATTGCAGATTCCCGACGATTCGCGAATATTTTAAAGATCTGACCAATTGGTTCTTCGATAGAGCCGAACATCATCCCAACCCTCTGATGGTAAGCGCAGCAAATTACCAACCCGACACAAACGCGAACGTCAACAAGTGTCGCCCACGAAACGTCCTCATCAACCCCGTCGAGGAAGGGGACTTAGATACGTCGGACCCATCGCCGGGGTCCCGCCGGATAACACTACACCCACAGTTAGTGCAACAACAAACACACTAGTTCGCCCTCGCCTCCGAGCACGGCGAGACCAACACAACGCGTACATAAGGTACACCCGCGTTCCGGGGCGGTTCTCTACGCTCCCAGCCACCGATTAGCTAATTGCACAGTCGACGGCCATCGGGGTTTCGGTCCGGACCGCGACCTCGATGGCCCTCAGATGACACACCATAGTTAAACGCACGCATGAGCACATGAGCGTGGCCCTACCCATAGCGGAGGGCCCAAACCCGTGGGTTCTGGCTAGCCCACCGGTTCTGCGTCAGATGAAGCTTTAATACTCTCGGGACTGAAAGCAAAAACATCAGTTATTAATTTAAAAAAAAACAATCAGTTGCATCAATTCCGAATGCTTGTATATTTAATGCGATTAGCGATTTAGCATTGGTTTTACATTTAGCTTTTGCTATATTCTTCTTGTGTTATAAGATTTTTATATCCTCAGTTTGCCAAAGGGTAGGTAGATGTTTTATTTTTACTGGACGTTTTTGACGGTGGGTATCATACAGCTTGATTAAAAGAGAATTAAAAATTTCAACCTGGTCATCAGTATTGTCACCAGTATGAACTTCAGCCCAATCAATTTGAGATGTATCCACTCGCAGGAGATTAAGATTCATACCACCAAAATTACGTTGGAGAAGAGAAAATTCTAGATTTAGCTTTGGGCGGGCATATTTTATTTGATAATTATAGCAAACCATGAACACACAAGGTGTTTGCAGGACATTGGCTTGATTCAATACAAAGTGTACTAAGGAAACTAAAATAAGATCAAGGCGAAATGGAGAACAATTTGGAAAGGAGTGCGTTGCCAAAAGAAGAACATGTAGATTTGCTGCCTTGACCATAGAACTATGATGAAATGCATGGGAATCATTTTTAAGAGGCAAGTATTACACACCAAGCAATAGTTTCAGATTGGATAAAATAACCTTAAGTTTTAGTCCCATAATATTTGGTCAAACTTTTTCAGCCAACACCTTCATTGTCTTCAGTTTCGTCCTGGTATGTGAACGTCAAATAGATGTTGTAACCCGCTGGCCCAATGAGGTTGACAATAAGCTAGCATGCACCGAATTTTCCTCTTTAGCTACTCATCGGGAGTAGCTATAGAGGCTTTAAGAAATACCTTAAACTGTTTTCGCCACGATTCATGCCGCCGGCAGCCCCTTTTAGCGATAATTCTCGGAAGGTCATTACTAACACATATCTTATCCTTTAAACGAGCAATTCTTGTATATATATATATATATATATATATATATATATATATATATATATAATCGGAATCTCGGTAACGGCTCCAGCAATTTTCATGAAATTTAGTATGTGCATAGATTCGGGGGCGAAAAATCGATCTAGCTAGGTTTCATTTTTAGAAAATGTCCTTTCATCCCTATTTTCAGGGAATGAAAAATATCATTCGAATATGACAGTAAATTTCACCGCAAAAAAAAATGTTATACTAGCTCGATCGGTAATCGGGCGGCCCCAAAACAGACGGCCGCGGTTCGTATCACGATGATTTACACACTTATTTTTTTTACTTTTTTTTCTACCAGATCATTTTCTTTATTTTTATTTTTTTTTACTTCCAAACTACATGATGTACCAAAAAAAAACCGAGCAAAGCTCGGTCCTTCAGGAACTTTTATCCTTAACGATGTTAATTCATTTGTAAATATTTCTTTTTGTAAAGTTTAAGATTTGTGGAAAAAATTAAGAAAACCATTTCGCCGCTGCGAGGATTTAAAACTACGTTCTTCAGGCGCGTAACCGGAGGTTACAGAGGCGAAAAACTTTTCATTCCATTTTTCTATAAATTTTAAAGTTCCATTTAAGTGCAGAGAATAGCACTATAAAGCTTACTGTCATTTTAATTGCCTTTTGTTTAAAATAAAACCAAATTATAGATAAATCTTTGTTTTACTTAAGCAGGTAATGAATTTTGATTAAGAAAATTCAGTTACGATCCTTGTGCGGAACTTAACGGCCATAGTTTGTATAAATTCAAATAATGCCATAGACTACCTTTTTCTAGTAATTTTGTCACTTTTGATGGAGGTTGATTTCTGATTTGGTGCTTCAGTTGGTAACAGTCACGAAGATTTCTCGGATTTTACAGCTGAATCCCATTGATTACAAAATATTTTAAGTTATTTAGTGATTTCGTGTCAGTATTACAATTACTAAAAACATTGTGACCGTACTAGAATAAGTTACAAACGGCTACTTCGGCCTCGAAATCTGTGTTCAGAAAATCACGTATTTGTATTAGATTTCTTACTGTTTGTTCCTAATGTTCTGATACTTCAACTAAACCAAAGTCCTACTATGGATATTGATGTTAGTAAAGAGAATATACAGCCTTTGAAAGGTGGAAGAAATCCTTTACAATTGGGAACTGCATTGCAAGCTCAATCGGATGTAGATGCTCAAAGGCAGCTTCAGCTGCAAAAAGAGTAAGTCTTTTTAAGTTTAAAGGCAGATTTAAATTTATACATCTATTCTATTCTTATTTACCTTATTATATAAATAAATTTCCTACGGTAATTGGACATATTCATGCTTTGGATCCCTCATAATGTTAAAATTAGAGTGTATTTTATGTTGTTAACACCGATTGATGTGTTTATTGTAATAGGGAACATGAAGCAGCTATTAGGCAATATCAAGGAATGGATCCATTGGAACCATGGTTCAACTATATCCAGTGGGTGGAGCAGTCATATCCAAAACATGGTCATGAAGGCCATATAGACAAGCTCATTAAAGATTGTCTTCAACTGTTTGAAAAAGATGAAAGATATTATCAAGACAGAAGACTTGTAAAGCTGTGGATTAAATATGTAAGTGAAAATATTTGTCTCAATTAACTTTGTAATTCTTGTGAGCTTTATAACATGGAATATTCTATAATTTAAATTAAAGGTTTTTTAGTCTGGGCTGTGATTTATCTGACTAATTCTAGTTTTAATAATTTTAGGTGCAAAAATTATTCATTAGTTAAAGTCTTGTTTTAGTACTGGAAATATATAAAATCATCAATGTTGCATTTCTTCAATCATTAAAGTTATATGGGTATCAAATCCTACAAAGCTTTAATGAGCATGCTTTGCAGAAGGATAATTCACTGTTTTGTTCCCTATAAAATGAATAACTAACCGAAGTAAAATAGTCAATCTGTCACCATGCAATAGAAAGTTATATAGCGTCTGATTTTTAAATATTGATGATGTATGTGTATATGTATTATAGGTTTTAGAAATTGAATTAGGTAGTCCTTAAATTTTTCTCATATTTTTATTACAATATTTCACTTAATAAAGTAAGATATTGTAATAAAAATTTAGTGGGAAGTAAAGGACATGTTCTTATCTTATGGACATGGTACCAAGAGTGATGACCTGTTCCTTGTACTGCTGTTAAGGTAGTACAGGGATAGAGTCACTCACATGTGTTAATTCTAATTATGTTATGAATATTGTTTTTAAAATATGTAATAAATTATTTTTTATTATTACAATATTTGTGACAATTAATTATAATTTTAGAAATCTTATGGTGTCTTACTTCTGTTATTTCTGTTTATTTATGAATAAAGACATTTCAAGGTGGACTGTTTATCTAATCCATTGGAGATATACCAAAGGCTATATAACACTGGCATTGGTGTAGAATGCTCAGAATTCTATAGAGCTTGGGCATGTTACTGTGAGGAGTCTGGTGATTATAAAAAAGCTAACCAGGTGTATATGTTAGGGCTACAAGCAAAAGCACAGCCTATTGATGAACTTGAACAAGCCCATATGTAAGTAATTATTACCTATGTATATAAATTTTGTGTTAATAACATTGAATTGTATTAGAATCAACAATCATTATTCAGTTGATATAGCATTTCTACAATTTATTTACTAACTACATTATTTTTTAATAGACTAAGGGTTAAAGAGGTTAAGTCAAACTTTTTAAAAACAATCATGAAAGTTTCACAACATCTTACCCACAAAACAATAATAGTGCTAAATATGCAGAACTGGTTGTCATTGTTTTATTTACTAGCCTTAATTACTGATGTAGCAAAAAATCTAGGATATAGCAAAGAAAATAAATGTATTAAGCCAGTCATTATAAAGGCAAATGTTCTAAATGATTCATGTGTGGATTAATTCACTTTTTTAGGAACTTCCAGTTATTTTTTGCCCAAAGAATGTTACATGATGATTCGCCAACTAAAAGGAAGGCGGCCTCTGCTTTAGCTGAAACAAGAATGGCATTGACATCATTAAAGTCCTTTAAGAGGAGAAATATTGCAAATGTGCCAGTTCAAAGGGTTGGTGACAGTGTAAAGAGTGTAGTCCCAGGAGTGGTTAGACAACACCATGGGAATACTGACCGAAGGTTGCCTAATTCAAATGTCATGGTGAATGTATATGAGGTAATATATTTTGTCAATATTAACCTTATTCATTATGAGTGTTATATCTCTCAGTATTAATATGATATTAGAAGTAAATTTAACAAGATTTTTTTTCTCATAGTCTTCACATATATTTAGGTACTTCTTAATTATTGCTTCAAATATGTTTCAATATCATTTAACAACCAATTTTGTCAAGAACACCTTTCTTACTGTTTTCATTTTTACTGTTATATTTGCCAGCAAATCAAATAGATGTGAATCGAAGTTGGACCTCTTGGAAATTTAGCTACACATTAGGTTTACAACATCTCCAAATGTGTGTGCACAGCTCCTGAAGTTTCATTTGATTATCACACTATTTACTAAAAGTTTGTCTAGATTGGAGTCCAGCATAACTACTTTCTAAATTGTACTATAAGTAATTCTGTACAGTTGATAATATTATATAAAATATAATGACCTATTTACTTCGGTCTGGATCAAAGTGTCATCAGTAGAATAGGATTATTTATCAACCGATTCCCCCTCAGAGACAACTTTTTCATCTTTTTAGAGCTATCAAAATAATGTACTCCATACAGTTGAAAAGAATTGGTGATAGAAAAGATTCATCATAAACATTATTGTTACAAATAACGAACACAATTACATAGAAAGTTGGAAATTCACCAATTATGTTTCACCATATGAAATAGCATTGGAAAGCTTAAGGAATTGGCATTGCTGTAAACAAGAAGCTGGAATCTGTTGAGGATAAATTAAGAGCTTTTTATTTATCAATTGATGAATGATTTTTGGCAAGCAAAAAAATTATAATTATATTATAGACAACGTACCAAGACTTCCATAACATAGCTATATGCCTCACAGTCAAGAGTGTTACTTTTTGTTTTTTGTGTAGATGCTCTATAGATTAGTAAAAACTTTACATTATATAGATATCAAGGCAAATTGTTGCTAAGAGCTTAGTGAACCCTTATTGCATACAATCTTGAGAAATCACCTTAAATATTGTACTTGAACCATTGCAGTTTAAATTTAGAATTTGGTGCACACAGTTATTTAAGAAAATTATAATAAGATTAAATTTCAAAAGACGGAGGAAAAGATAATTGGTCCAGTCTCTTCCATCATACAGACTGATGTTGCTTGGAATGAATTAGTTTAGTTTATTTTTGGCAGTTGGTGATGGTTTAAGGTTTTCTTGATTATTAATGCTGAATCACCATGACCAGTTCCACCAGGATGGTTATTAGGATATTAGGGCTATTTCATGTTTATGTTCCTTTTTTTTGTTTAAGTTATGTGTTGTAGGATAAGGCCGAACAAATCTGTATGTCTAGCAAGCATCAGTTCTATTGTCGGAGGTATGGTTTCAGTATAATAAGATGAGTTGATGTTTGTCTTAGTATTCAGTGATGTTGATGTAATTTTTTTTGAGTCGGTTCAGTTTTTATATGTTCCTTACAATTTCGCTAAAATCTTTCTGGGAGGTTGATGTTGAATAGTTGTAAGGTTTTGAAATGCTTTTTTTTATGTGGGTAAAAATTCTTTACGGATGCTATGCCGGACGATCTGTGTAGCGGTAGAGATATGTGGGAGTCCTGAAAGATGGGGCACCCACTAAAAACTCACGTTGAACATGCAGTGTCACATCGGCCGGGGACATGGGACACGAAGACGCAATCTTCCGCGACGCCAATGCGACTCCTTAGGCCTCCGCTACCCGTATACTGGTGTAATTAGTACACCGCCCCTCGCAAGCCCCGTATGGAGCTGCAGATACCCGATGTCCGCCGCCCGGGTTCACTATCAGGGGAGAAGGTTACGCTCGTAGGCCAGCCTCTCGCGGCCCTGGTCTCTGAACAGGCAGGGGATACCTTAGCTCTATTTTATGAGCCCGATTTTACAGGGCTGAGCCTCCGTGGGCTGCTTCCTGTTGATAATATCCCTGAACTGTCACTATCCACCATAGCTTTTACGGTGAGAGGGCCACACAGCAGCCTCGGCTGTTGCACGAATGGGCAGACCCGTCCGGGTAAGTACCACGACCTCACAGAAGATCGGCGTAAACTGGAAGTATGACAAATACTTTCGCGTTTCGTCTGGTGAGTGAGGTAGCCGGAGCCCAATTTTGAAAAGGTTGTCAACGCATCTGTAACCCTCGGGTGTGGCAGATGTCCATGGGCGGCGGTATTCACTTAACATCAGGTGAACCGTCTGGTCGTTTGACAACTTTTCGCATAAAAAAAAATAGCTTGAACCACGCTGGCAGCGATTGTTTTTGCCCCACGATAGCGCAGTTCTCGGTATTGCTCCATCCCGCTGGGCAGTTTTCCAGCGGCGGCTTCTTCTAGTGGGGGCATTGTAGTATAAATATCTCGATTATGAAAACATAAACAATATATCTAAATAAATAATGTCAGTAGAAAAACGAACACATAAGGCAGAATGTTTTTTAACTTTTGTTTGGTATTTTTTTGTCAGGATGCTCCTTCGACGTCGCGTGTGGCAATTCCCGTAGCGGAAAATCCCGGACCAACTTCTTTAGTACAGTCATGTAGCAATGTAGAGAATGAAAAAGAAGTTGGAATTTGGACCAATCCCAAGACTAAAATGGTACATTCTAATGTTGTACCCCATCAGCCTCTACCATTTACACGTAAGTAATGATATCTTCATGATTAGAAATACAAAGCTTAAGTAGGCTGTGATGAACACTATTTTCAATCCATATGAAAGTTGGTGGGAGAGTGAAGTGAGTGTGGCTATCGCCTATCAGATCACCACAGTATTCTAAAAGGCCAACATTTACAAAAGAAACGTAAAAAAATTGTTTAAAATATGAACATTGTGGATTGTAAAACAAACTGTACAATATATTTTTTTTTGTGGTAAGGGGACGCGTGAGTTGGTGACTCATCTGATTTTAAAATTAAAGTTAATAATAATAATACTCTACTCTACGCCAGTCCATGGAGGGAGTGGTACCACCACCTTCTTAGGACAAACCTGCCCACTAGTGCCGGATTAACGAGGGAGCAAGAGTAGCATATGCTATGCTATGGGCCCTGCATATTTAAACCCAGAATGGGTTTAAATCTTTCCTTGAGCGTCGTTTTTTGAGTGAAACTTATTAAGATGTGGTATATTGAAATTGCTTGATGTCACAAAAATGTGAAACATTACAACTTTTGCTACCAAGACAATCCACATCAGACAATCGATAACTCACTATTTCCTTGGCGTTCTTTTATATTTGTACTTGTCAGAGACAAGCTACTAGTCTATTAAATTGTAACATATAGTTGGCAAATAACCATATTGAGTATTCAATAGTTTTTACCACTATACAGGAGAACCCATAGTATATCAAGGGCTTATGAAAAAATTTGCTACAGGCTCCGCGCTTTATGAATCTGGCACTGCTGCCCAGCAAAGTAATATCACAGCCACGACGGTGACATGGCCCTACGACAGACAGACATATTTAAATCAAACAACTTTTTCCAAATATTGTTCAATTTCAAATATAATCACTTGTTTTTAAATTACTATTTCATTATGGATTGATCTTCACATGTCTATAATATGCCAAATATTATATTATTGGATGGTTGTTTCACAATCCTTTTTTAAATATAACTACTGCATTTACAGCTTATGAAGATGAAGAAGATATTTTGAAACTACCACCAAATCACTTGCCTTATTGTGTTGATGACTTAACATTTAATGTACCTCTTTGTGTACCTGACCCTGCAGATCCAACAAAAATTGCTTGTTATAATAAGTCACAGGTCAGAATTTCTATTTGTTTCTAATACATTCGTAATTTGTATATTCCTTAACACTTTATTCTAAAATTCTTAAACTTTACAGGTCTATGTTAATGAAATAGAATACAGTTTAGAGGAAATAAGATCACGAAAATATAACCTTGAAAGGAAAATAAAAATGACAAATGTAGAAAATGTTGATACACCACAAAATTACAATGAAAATGAGGCTTTAGCACAATGTAGTGCATTAGAAACATTAGCAAACTGTGCTTTAGACACAGAACAAGACCACTTAAGCCAACTTATGCCTTTGTCCTTGCAAAATATTACTAAAGTTACTAATATGCATTCGCCGGGAGAACCAAAAGTCTTTGTAAATTTGGATTCTAAGGAATTGAGTGAGCATGCCGACAAAAGAAATGACGAAATTCAAAAAAGCACCTCCCTGTCAGCAAACAAAGAGAATCAAATAGATAAGTTTAGCACTTCTGACAACAATTTTGTGGATAATGGTGGTGGGAACTATGGCAAAAATAATTTAATGGAGGAATTTAATAGGAGTCTTATGGGCAATCTCCTTGGTGACTCTGTTACTGTCAATACTAAAGAAGCAAGATGGGAACTAAGAAATATTTTCAATGATAATGGTAATAGTTTCTTCACATTTTTAGGACATATATTTATTGTATAATGTTGAGTAAATACCATTAGTAAACCTTAATTGTGCTATGTAGATATTTATAAAAAAATATCCTTTAACAATATGTTTATCATTTTATATGCAGAGCCTTCAATGGTTCAACCAGTGGTCCAACAGTTTGAAGTACCAAGGTTTGACATTCATGAAGATAGATCTATGACTATGGCAATAAATACCAAGAAAAACTTTGAAATTCCTGATGTAAGAAACTTGCCAGAAGACAAAGAAAATGCAAACAAGTTTCCTCCACCAACAGCAGTTAGTGCACCGCAACAGGTATAAAGTAAAAAATACTAATAATAGGCAAATTACTCATTTACTTTTATTGTAAACTGAAAAAGAAATAAAGAACATTAAACATTTAATAGAATAATGCCTTTCCTCTGTAAGTAGCTTGTTGTCTTGCTTTTTTTATAATACAAATATGTATTGGAACATTTTGGATTTTTGTAATTTATAATCAGTGCTATTATTTCCACAATGATTTCCTTGATTTTATGTATTGAAGCAAATACTGTATATTAGGTGGTTGTTCAATAGTCAACTTTTGTATGAGAAAATATGATATGTTAGGAAAATAATTTAAATAAAATTTCATCCCAAATAAGATGAAAAACGTATAGTACTTTTATCAAGTACTTGGTTGTATAGTTTGCAATATATAATACTTCATGATCATTTCAGGTAAATAAAACTGCATACTACGAAGAGCCTTCTTGTACCCAAGTATTTAACTTTAATATTAAAGATGCAAGCACGCCAAATATGTCACAGTTCAAGAAACCTACGAGTTGTATTGATCAGTCATCAAAATATCCATCAGTTCCAAAATTTAGTATGGACGAAAGTGTTGTTGAGCAATCAGATCTGGCAATTGGTAAAAGAGATGAGTTTTCACGACACAATGCAGTTGATCATCATGCCACTGCTGAAAATCAAGGTGGAGGACTCTCTGTAATAATGGAAGCCACCAGAGAATACAATAGGTACAAATATTGACTTTTTGTACTTGAATTTATAGCAATACTACACATTCAAAATGGTGTACATTTTTAATGTGTAGTATTGCTATAAATTGATATGATTGCATATAGACTGGCATTCTAGGACATACAAAACCAAAATGTGTCTCTTAAGATTGACCAAGTCACTGCACAGTTCATAGTTAATGCATATAGCAGGGGGCCCTGCAGGTGCCTCCTGCTATACCTATTAACTACGAACTGGGAGGATCTACATGCATGAGGGAACAATATTGCTCTGTTGAACCACTCAAATCATTTTGTCTTGTTGCATAGTGGGCATTGTCATGAAGTTGCCAACAACATTGTTATTCATGAACAAAATACTGGGGCATGTTAGTTCTGCTATTAAGAACTAAGTTTTTGTAATCAATGTACTAAAAAATTCGCGAAACAAACTTGACTAAGATGCATTTATTATGATTACGTTCAATAGTAATAATCTTAGTAAAGTTTTACAATTAACAATATAACAATTATCGATATTGATTCTTATATTTCTCAGTGATTCAACTAGTGATTTACGTTTTGGTTTGAATTTTATTTAATTATTTTTCAGTAAATCGGGTTCCAGCTCTTCAGGTCAGTCAATAAGGACCAATTTTACAGGGTATACAACTAATTTTGACTCTATGTATAACAACCACAATGATCCAGCCCAAACTAATACTGCTGCCAAAAGAAACTCCGTATCTTCACAACCAAGACTTGCTAATGGGCAGTTCTCGCGAATGTACCCCCAAAAACGGGAACATCAAGAAAATAAAACAGCGCCACCTTCCTCATCTGTGCCTTATCAATCCCATGATCATCAGTATCAGAAGCCTGTGACTCAAAATTATAATGGATTTACACCACAACGCTCAATGCATGGTCAATATCAACAGGGCTTTAATTTTAATCAACAGCCATATGCAAGTAACCAAATGATGACTCAACAACAGCAGCAGACTTTTCAGAGCCCTAATCCAAGTGCATATCATAGCCCTCAACATACAGGAATGCAGAGCCCTCATGAAATCAATGCACCACAAGGATTTCAAAGTCCTACATACTCTAATCAAATGGGGTACAATAGTCCTAGCCATGTAATTATGAGCCCCCAGCATGGTTACACAGGCAGACAAGAGTTTCACTATGCTAGTCAATCTGAAAGACAACATATATATGCAAACCAGGCTCAACATCAACAAACAGCAGTTTTCCAAAGTCCCCCACATCAAACTCAATATCAAAATCCACAATATTATCAGAGATCAAGTCAAGTTGCACAACCTAATCAAAATTACAATCAACAAAGCTATCATGGTATGCATACTCAGTATAACAATACTAACACTATGTATGCTAGTCCTAACCAACATCCTAATACACAGAACTTTAATGCAGTACAATCATCATACAGACAATCACCAAAACAAAACATAGACAACAACTCGCCCGTATACACCATGCCAAACAATCAAGTGGGAAATAATCAGTCATTTCAAATTTATCAAAGTCCACAGTGTACTCAAAACAATTTCCGAAATTCTTCAGTACATAACACCGTGACCCATGTAGCTGACCAAATAAGACAGGAAACTCCAACTAATGCAACATTTAAGGGTCAACAAGAATCTGCAGATACTGAAAAGAATGGTACTAGTAATATTAATGCACAAAACAAAAGTGCTGCCTCAAGAAAGAGTCCCTCATCAGCATTAAGAAATATAAGACATGATCAACCTAATGTTAAACAAAGTCAAAACTCACCAGACATTGGGTTTTCAAATCAGTTCATTAATTTTATATCAAATCGAAATGAACCTAAGGACACTGCAAACACTCCGAAGTTCACAAACAGCCCCAGCATTTCACAAAAGATGCATAAGAATTTATATGTTTCAAGCCCAGAACAAGCCCAAATACCTCCATCTTCTGGCATGTCTGATTCAGATAGTAAAGATGGTATGACTGCCCAGACTGCAACTCCAATTCAATCAGCTAAGGTGTCACATACAATTGATAAGCAGAAAGATATATTGAAACGGCAACTTGATTTTGAACACAGAGTGGAGGTTCAATCAGAGGATAGTAGAGATTCTGTAAGCAAAGATAGTCGAATCTCATCAGTCTATTCTAGGCAATCAGACTTCCAATCTGATGGATATGGTATGGACATTGATAGTGAGAATTCAATGGAATGTGCAGCATTCAAATCTACACACTCCATTTCATTAGTAGAAACCAGTGATATACCAAGACCAGCTGACATCGATTTTCCAGCACAGATTGATCCATTTAATAAAAAGCTTATTGCTTCCTTACTAGAATATGTAAAGTTTCCTAATAAAACTCATGCAGAAGGATATGTAGAAGTGCGGTCTATTCCAAAGTTGCAATTAGCTACAGTAATAAGTGTTGGAAATAACAAATTCTCAATTGAGAAACAATTGGGTAAAGGGAATTATGGTGCAGTATTTTTATGTTTGGATTTAAATAGTCATAAATCTGTGGCAATTAAATATCAAAAACCCAGTCGCCCATGGGAGTTTTACATTTGCCAAGAAATTAAAGCTAGAATAAAAGATCCTTTCATGGTAGGCAATTGATTGAAGTTTTATTATTAATTTTAATATTGCATTACTAAAATAGTTCTTTTTTGTTTTAGCTGCCAGGATATATGGACATAAGCACTGCCTTTTTAGGAGATAATGCAAGTTTATTTGTCTCGGAATATTCAAAATATGGGTCCCTTTTGGATGTTGCTAATAAAGTTAGAATTGCTACCTCAAAGTGTATTAATGAGTTCATTGTTATACTTTTAACATCAGAAATATTATCAATAGTTCATTACCTTCATAAAGCACAGATTATACATGCAGACATAAAACCTGATAATTTCTTGCTTATGAAAATGTAAGAATACAAATTGAAACATTTGTTATAAAGTATATAGACATTTAAAAAAAATTTAAAAAACCTTTCAATTTACAGCCCTACCCAAGAATGGAGGACACCATCACTTCAACTGATTGACTTAGGTTGTGCAATTGATATGTCTCTTTTCCCTAAAGGAACAACATTTAGAGAGGTTAGTTGCTAAAATATATTTGTATGATTATTTTTTGGTCTTTCCTAAATCTAATGGTTTCTGGCGGAAATACTACATTTTTCAAGTAAGGTTAGTCATGAAATTTATCATGTTAATGTTAATTGGATGCAGCATTAATGGTAAATGGATAGGCTTCTCACATACAAAAAAAAGCGAACTGGCGGTTCACCTGATGTAATGTGATAACCGGCGCCCATGGATATTTTCCATGGATGGGTTGCCACCATTCAATAAAGTTGGTCTCGGCACCTCACTAACTAGACGAAACACTAAGAGTTATACGTGTGTTTCACTTCACGCCAGTCTTCTGTGCGGTCGTGGTACTTACCAGGATGGACCAACTGCCATTCTTTGATTCCATCCAATAAAAATTTAGCTTAGTAAGGGATATAATACTCTTCCATTTAAGAGAACTCATGTTATTTTTAAATAGCATCTATATTTGTTATAGTTGTTGTTAATCACGAATGACAATGTACTCATGTGAATGTTGCGCGGGGAAGCGGTACAGTTGGAAAAAGATATTTAAAAAAAATCTGGACTCGAAGACACCGGGGCTTCTAGTTTCGGGACCGCCCGATTTCCAACCTCAGCTATTATAACCTTAAAGATGGTGGCGTAATTAACCTTCATATTCTAATGATATTTTTAGTTACTACAGTTTTTCTTTGCCTAAAAACGCAGATAAAGTGGTCTAGAAATGAAACCTAGCTAGATCGATTTAATTATATTACTAAATTTCTTGAACATCGTTGGAGCCGTTTCAGAGATTCAGATTTATAATATAATATATATAGGTACAATAATTGCTCGTTTAAGGTATTAGATAGATAGATTAAAAAATTTTTTTTAGTAAATCATCAATAAAATTCAGTATTTAAAAGAAAATTTTATTAATTGTATTATTTAAGTCAATTATATTGGCCATGATTAATATAATTAAAGTCGGCGCATAAAATTAACAATTTCATTCATGCTGGCACCCGGATTTAAGGTCAAGTAGCTCATGTGTATTGAATTAAAAGCGAGCGACCTCACACTGAGCTATCACCGCTATATATATGGTATCAACATCTTTACTAATATGCAAAAAACGATCATAGGCAAAAGACAAAAACTGATTTATGGAACTATCACCTCTTTTTTGGCTTGGCATTTGCCAATGGGAATTATGAAACATGACTTTGGTTTATACAGCAACCATAAAGTCATTGGATTTATGTCCTTATTAAAAGAGTTGTTTTATATTTTTGAGCTACACAGGCTTACATGCACAGATATGTGAGAACCTTGGAAATATCGAACTGATTTATTATTGGATTAATGGGCCCGAAACATGATTACTGTTTTTACCACAACCGTAAAAAATCATTGGATTTATGTGCTTATAAAAATGGTTATTTGTTTCAGTTAATAGCTACAGAGGGTTTCACATGTACAGAGATGAGGGAAGGAAAACCTTGGACATATCAAACTGATTTATACTGCTTGGCTGGTACAATACATGTTATTTTGATGGGAAGCTACATGAAGGTTGTCAGTCGTCTTGGTCAATGGAATATAGACAAAAAATTACCAAGGTGACGCTTATTCCTTATTTGCATTTGCCTTTAAAATAATATAGTATTGCAACATGTATCTATATTTTTATAAAATATGTGTAGTAGTTTTATCATACTTTTTATAAATATAAATTCATTTTTCAGGTACATGAAAGTAAGTTTATGGGATAAGATATTTACTACTTTACTTAACATACCAGATTGCAATAATCTACCAGACTTAATGGATCTCAAGAATGAGGTAGACAGTGTATTAAATGAAATAGATAACCTTGGCTTTCAACTCCGTAACTTTGCTAATGTCCTTAAGTCAAGATAAAATGTTACAAAGACCCAAATTGTATTTATTGCATTTAGAGGTTATGATGACTGTAAAAATTAGATACATACATGTATTGTTAGTTATTAACAACAAATTATATTTAAGTTGGATAAATTTTGTGAATCGTTTTGAAGCTGGGTCTTTCATTGCTCTTGTAATAACTAAAAAGCAATATTAAAATATCAGAACATAAAATATAGTTAAAAGAAGCTACTTTATTGTGTTTAGTTAAAATTGTGATATAATGTTTAGCTTTTTTGTTACTTTGTGTCAAAATGTGGCTTAGAATCTTGTTAGCTTCTTGCTCATAAAACTTCAGTTTCATTTATTTTTTTACAACACAAGACTTGCACACATCATATTTTTTTGTTTGCAATGTAATTATAAATAATAAACGACTACCTGGTTACATAATCTTTTATTGTGTTATGTTATTTCTATTATTATATATTTATAATATTAACAATTCATTTAACATACACCAATTCTTTAATGTAATATGAAAACTTAAGTTTCAACTTTTCCTAATCTTTGTTTCTTCCTTTCTTGATACTCCTGGACATTATCAAACTTTCTTTTATACAATAATTTAATAGAAAGATTTTTATCTTCTGAACTTGAACAGTTAATTTCTCCATTATTGACAAACATTTGAAAACTGGTGACAAAATCAAGAGATATATTTTGTTGTACACATTGCAACTGATATTCAGTAACCATATTCTTTGTACTACAATATACAAATAGAGACAATTTATTAAATTGAAGGACAATAGGATGTTGTTCAAAATCTAATTTTTTAAGAAGTGAATGCTGAAAGTTGTTCATTGAATCAGATTCTAAATTATAAAGAAGTATTTTATTCAAACCATAAACAGTAACAGCCGCAATACTAGAAGATTTATCTGCTTTAGTAATTGAATAATTAACAATAGGCAAATTTTTTACTTCTATTCCTTCATCAATCATCAGTTTGGAAAAATCATTTTTTATTGAATCATCATTGATATCAAGAAATGTATCTATACTATAGCAAAGTCTACCACTTGTATAGTCCCAACATTTAATAGTTCCATCACCAGATGTACTTGTTAGATAATTATCATTATGTGGTAATAGTTCTAAATGGTTGACGAATTCTCTGTGCCCAAGGCAGTAAGTTTGTATATTATAAGTATTTGGGTAACAAGATACCCTTATCTTCTCATCCCTATCAGAAGAAATTATAAATTTACGATCATTCGTTTGGAGAACATTCAGTAATAAACTTAAATGAGCCAAGAGTTTAATTCCATCACCTTTTTTTATTATATCGTACATCAGAACGTCACCAGTTTTATCAGCTACGTATATGTAGTCATCATTAATTGAAAATCTTATTTTACTTGAACTTCTGGGAAGAATGTAACTGTTGTTTTTTTTGAACGAAGGCAAATCGTACACAATAAGTTGTTTAGAAGCTGATGTTATAACAGCTAAATATCGGCGACTGGTGCCAATTATTATATCTAAAATCGTGTCATTTAACTCTTTGGAATCCACTTCCAGAATATCATGCTTTGTGTAATCGTAGCAATCTATATGGAGGCCTCTGGTTACCGCAACAAGATTATCGCTTACTGCCATGGAAGCCATTCCATTCATCTTCAAAACGGACTTGGACGTACAATATACTATTGTAAGCAATTAATGTTATTAAATTGCCCCATTCTTTAGTAAAGAGTAGCAGTTTTTTCAGATATTACTTTTTAGTCTGCAATCAGTCTTTTTCTATTTCTAATTCTAACCTCAAGCAAAAGTAAACGTAGTGATTAGTGATTACATTTAGCGATGTGTGACTCGAGTTATTTGATTCGAGTAACTCGAATCAAACCTTAAACGAGTCAACTCGAGTTCAGTTTTAAGCAACTCGAATCAACTCGGTCGTCCGAACGCAAACCGGACGTTATACGCGGGGGCCTCACGAGTTGTTCCGAGTTACACACGCGGCTCGCGCGCGCGGTTCGTTAGGCATTGCAACTCGCATCAATTCGAGTTGAGTGAAATGCAAAGTTACGTTACACGCGCGCGCGCCGTACGTAAGGTGTTGCATCTTACTCGTATCAACTCGAATAGAACTTGGGTTGAGTCGGGCTCGTTCGGCCAGGATCGGAAACGGAATTGCGCAAATGAAAAACCGCTTTAAAAGTTTGTTTTGTTTTTTGATTGACATTTTGTTATTTGATTTTATAAGTTGGCCGTTGGCGATCCGCGTGCGAACTGACATTTTTGATTTGTTAGTGATCTGTTTTGTTTTATTTGTAACGACGTCAAATAACAGAAGTGTGGCGTGGGAATTCTTTGCTATAAAAACAGAAACTTTTTTAACTTTATTTTCGATAAGCAATCGACGATGTACAAATATATTTTATAAGTACGACTTTGAGGCGATAGATGGCGGTATTTTTTTGTCGTATTTTCTTAAACACGATGTTGTGATCTGCGCTGGAATAACATACACCTTTGTTGATTGATTTTCGATATAAATTGCACACTAGTGCCAATTGATTGTAAATTTTGTCTTTAAATCCCAACCGTCGGACACTGTTCGAGGTCGAGGTGTATAGAAAAAGGGGATGATTAGTTCAGACCATAAACGAAGTTGCGAATCGACTCGAGTAGCCACATAACATCACGATTCAACATCATTATTACTTCCTATCTAATTAGCCTCGAGTCGATCTGACTCGTGCTCTCCGAGTTGGCCGAGTCGTCCCCCCCCCCCCCTACCCCCTATGTCCCTAACGGAGACTTCGATGCGAGTCAACTCGAGTTGCGATTCGAGTCAGTAGCCAAATCAACTCGAGTAACTCGAGTCAAAAAAAATCCAACTCGTCACATCACTGATTACATTCTCTTTGACCTCAACTCAATGAATACAAGTTTACAGGTTAGGCATGGGCAAAAATATAAAAATATCGATATTGTTCTGTACTATAATTATCGGTATATATCATCAATATTATATATCGATATTCGATATTTATTTCAGACTATCGAATTCGTGTCAATTTTTTTTACGGGAAAAAAGCGGTAAACGAGTAGGAGGCTTACCTGATGTTAAGTGATCACCGCCGCCCATGGACACCTGCAACACCAGAGGGTTTACAAATGCGTTACCGGCCTTTAAGGAAATAGTAAATAGTATTTCGATATATTTACGCAACTCTGGTTTCGTTTTTAATGTTATTAGATACTCTTTGCCTGCTCCTCGAGCATCGTTAACTTTAAAAACTCTTTGCAACTATTTTGTTCATATTTATTCTATTTTACGTATTTTGAATGATTTGAAAATATATACATTCATAATCATACGAAAAATGACGATATATCGATATATATTTTTCGATAATTATCGATGCTTTTTTAAAATGTCGAAACGATATATATCGATATATTTTTTTACTTGCCCATCCACCATTTTTTGTTTTTCTCTTAACAGTTTGGGTAAGGAAATTCTGCCAATCATCCGTACTGTATTCAATCATGCAATAATAACGTCAACGGATGTGTCCTCTTCACAAGAAACCAACAGAAGGCTTAAATCATTGACAATGTAGGGCTCCGATTTGCAGCTTACACGATATCCTTTGTGTACTAGGCCTCGTTTTTAATAACTTATGTCGTGTATTATCAAATTTCTTTATTTGCTAGTAAATAGGCACAGAAATATTTTACCGTCGTCACAATGTCGAGCTAACCTGTTTAGCTGTTTTTAACAGCATGTAAATGTCCAAAAGATATAATTATAATACGGTTAATTCTAAAATTTATTTTTTGTACAAATAACTAACGTTCTTATACAATTTTTAAAGATATATTAATTAAAGCATCGATTTTTAACAACAACAAAAAAAAACATTGAAGCCCGGTTTCTGAAACATTGATCATCGTAGAAATTTACTAATATGCTGTCATTTGAGTTACCAAAAGAATGGTTAAATTTGAATTGATATTTTTGAATCGATCATTTTGACCAATTCTCAAATTCAATTCATCTTAGATCATTCTGATCAATTCTCTTTTCACCTTTTAATGTTATTGAGTGGTGATTTCGTGGGTTGCTTTGTAGTAAAACTCAAACTCTGTAATATTCGTCTAATAGTTTAATAATTGTTTTTTAAACGTTCGCGTCACACATCCACCGCCAAAAAAGATGGAGGATTCGGCGTCGGTCTAGTCGCGCAGGCGCGGTGGGAGCTTGCGATGACGGCGCGGTCGTGGACCAATTACATTCGATTGAGGCGCGTCGCGTGAGACGCGTTGACGGGATTCAAGTGCGCGTTCCAAAGAGTTCCGTTGCGTTATAGGCTCCCCCTCCAAGTTGGTAACACGTCCCGGGCCCAACTTGGTACCTGACTGTTTAATACGCGGCCTACCCCTACCTTTCTTTGGAATAACGGGTGTGGTCTGCTTGTTATCCGACTTTTGAGTAAAGGGGGTCAGGTCCGAACTGTGATATTTACCTATGACAGTGTCGTCGTCAGTCAAATTCGAAAGTATAAAAGTAGTGGGAGTTACAACTCGTTTAACGCGATATGGGCCATCTCGTTTTGGCATGAATTTGCGAGTAGTTCCTTTCGAAGCATTGCTCAGTACGTGGGTTTTGACCAAGACCAAATCATTCTTTTTATAAGAAGGTACAGGACGGCGTGCAGCATCACCTATCTCCTTACGCTGATCTTGTTTTTTCTCAACACGTTCTCGAATATCCTGTAAGGCACGTACGAAGGAACGCAAATATGGAGTGGCCGAAGGCACAAAGTTTTCTTTATCCAAGATTGCACGTAGATCATGGTGCACCTCGAAAGGCGTGCGAAGTTCGCGAGCGAACGTTAAAAAAGCTGGGGTCTTCCCAGTGGTGGAACAGACGGCGCTGTTCATAGCGAACCGAACATGGGCAAGATATTTAGGCCAGTTCCGGTGTTCGGTTTTTACTAACAAAGACAGTTGTACCTTGAGTTCTCGATTTTTGCGCTCGGCGGGATTAGCTTCAGGGTGGTAAACTGGGATAAGCTCTTGTTTAACCCCTAAAATAAACATCGACAGCTGCATTACTGAGGATATGAATTGAGTGCCGTTATCGGACACAACTCGACGTGGCAATCCATATCTGAGAAAGTATTCTTCTATAAGAAGTTTGGCGCAATTTTCTGCTCCACAAGCGGGAACAGCTCCACCCACCTGGTAGCTACGTCTTCAACAAGAAGGACCCAACGTTGTCCTTGATCTCCTTCAGGCAGGGGACCGAAAAGATCCACTGCAAGGACTTCAGATCTTTGTTGGAGGACGGGTGTCTGGAGGAGACCAGCTGGTTTCTGGTTCGCGGCTTTATACCTGAGACAGTCCACACAGTTCTTAAGGTACTCTGTGACGTAACGACGCATTCCGGGAAAAAAGAAGTGCTCACGGATGCGCTGCAGAGTCCGCTCAATACCCTGGTGGCCAGCAGTTGGGGAATCGTGAAACGACTTTAAAAATTTCTTCCCTTTTGGAAATTGGCACTACCATCTGCGCTTCTTCGGAGTCATTATCTGGATCATAACGATAAAACACGCCCTGCTGCAGTACATATCCACGTTCCAGCCACCGAGTAGAGGTAAGTTCGTCTATGCTTTCTAGGTCTTGAATAATTTTAGCCACTTCTGGTTTAGCTGCTCGGCTCGGAGTTGGCTCGGCAGTGCTTGAGGTAAGTCGACGGATACGAAACACACTTCGCACTCGTTGATACCGTTACAGGTAGGTCGACTCAAAGTATCAGCTAAGGTATTAACTTTACCTGGAGAGTACTCTATCTTGAGATCAAACGCCTGGAGTTTCAGGGCCCATCTGATGAGACGACCACTGGGGGACTTGAGTGTAAGCAACCACTTAAGTGGCTGGTGGTCACTTTTGACTATGCATAGATGGCCATCAATGTATCCCCTGAACTTTTCTACTGCCCAGACGACTGCGAGCGCTTCCCGCTCGGTGGTAGAGTAATTCCTCTCGGCTGACGTCAGAAGTCTGCTGGCGTATTCGATTGGTTTTTCATTGTTATTGTCACCTTGTAACAGTGCAGCCCCTAGAGCATAATTGCTGGCGTCGGTGCGCAGCAAGAAGGGCTGGGTGTAATCGGCCTGTATCAAAATAGGAGCGCTAGTAAGCTTACTCTTTAGCAGGTCGAAGGCGCGTTGCTGTGGTTCACCCCAGGTCCACGCCTCGTTTTTGCGGGTAAGTTTCGACAGAGGTTCAGCAATGCGCGAGAAATCAGGAATAAATTTCCTAAACCAGGAACAGGTCTGTAAAAATGATTTCAAATGTTTGAGATTGTGTGGTTCTTTCATTTTCAGGACGGCGTCGACTTTGGTGCTATCCGGCTTGATTCCTTTGGGTGTGATCACATGGCCTAGGTATGTAACTTCCTGGCGAACAAAGTGACATTTGGCGCGGTTCGCGTGGAGTCTAAAGTGACGCAGTCTATCAAACACCTTGTCAAGATCCTGAAGGTGGTCCTGAAAACTTCCCTGTGTGATCACCAGGATGTCATCCAAATAAGCCAACAGAGTGATGTCCTGCAGCGACGAGCTTGAGCGGAAACGATCGATCAGTCGCTGGAAGGTAGATGGTGCATTTTTAGGCCGAAGGGCATGCGCTTGAACCTATACGTACCAAAAGGACTTATAAAAGCAGTTTTGTCTCTGTCCTTTTCAGCTACATTGACTTGCCAATATCCGGAACGTAGGTCAATGGTGGACATGTGACAATCCCGTTTGGTCATCTGCAATAAATCATCGATTAAGGGAATTGGATATCTATCGGTCTTGGTGATCGCATTAAGGCGACGGTAGTCGACGCAAAACCTAAAAGATCCGTCCTTTTTCGGGACAAGAAGAGCAGGTGCAGACCACGCAGACTCACACTCTTCAATCACGTCGTCTGCTAACATTTTCTCCAACTCTGCCTTCATTATCTCTTTTTTTGCTGGAGTGAGCCTATACGGTGGAACGGCAATAGGAGCATTATCGCCGGTGTCGATGTGATGCTCTGCGTAGGGAGTTGGCCCTCCCCCTTGTTCGAACAGGTCTTTGTTCTGTTTTAGGAGGTCGGACAACAGCAGTCTCTCTTCAGGATGCAGCATAACTCCTTCTTTCTTCCTCACGTAGGAAATCTGCAGAGGATACGGACACGCATGGTCTGGAAAGTTCATATTCCAATGGGTAAGTCACTTCATCACCAGAGAAATACCAAATTGAAGCGGCGAAATCGAACACTATCCCCGCTGAGGCAATAAAATCCATACCAAGAATAGTATCATTGGGTTTTGTCTCTGGAAAAATAATGAACTCCAAACACAACAGTTTATTTTTTATTTTTACTTGCAGGTTAGTAACCAACAACTCACGAATCTGCACGGAGCCATCAGCGAGACGAACGCGTTTAGTGGTTTCTTGACAGGAATGATTATGTTTAAGCAACACCTGATATAAGGAAGCACCCACAATACACCCTTTAGCACCTGTATCCAATAGTGCGGTACCCCTTACACCTAGAATTTCCACTCCTAAAATCGGTCTCCGTTGTGATTGACAAGTGCCTGACACTTGTGGATGAGCGTCTGAATTAGTTGAATCAAGAGTCGACAGAGAAATGTTCGAACATGTCGTCGCTCCATTTAATAAAAATTGTGACTCAACATCAGAAAATAATTTTTGATTACTATTACAATCGTCCTGCATGGTCAACCTAGTAGGCGTAGTAAGTTTATTTTTCAAGTTATTTATGTTTCCGGATTGACCATGTAAAACATTTGTCTTGGTCACCCTAACTTCGGCATTCGATTTCCGCGGATGTCCGGAAAAAAATCATAGTCACCCTACTCTTGTCATTAGTTGTAGAAAATGGGACTGATTCGGTTGTGGTCAAATCGTACTTACTTATAGAATAATAACCAAGCACGTTTGTGAGCTTAGAAGCCGGAGGAGGCACATCATGTGACATGCACTCAAACATATTAGTATCACGACTTAAATTAAATACACACCCATTATCACAAAGAAAGTATTGATATGGCAAAAATGTAGTAAAATCAATAGGCAAAAACTCTATGTGATCAATGTTAGCATAAAATAACTCAGGTAACACAGATGTAAATTGTTTAGGTAAAAACTCTGCGTGATTATTTTTAGTTTGAAACAATTCAGGTAACGCAGATTTAAATTGAGTAGGCAAAAAATTATCAGAGCATTCCCGTGCAGTATTATTTACCAATAACGACTTATGGTTCAATGGATCAAAGCTGGACTCGGGGAGTGATAACATGCTCGAGGGGAAACCTTTATGTGACACACTGTTATAAGATGAAGTGGAACTCGCCTGGGACTCATCCTTATCACAAAATGATTTAATAACAGTGGTAGAGTACCATGTACCGTAATTTCCCATCAGCGCGCCTATCGGACGGTCGTGTTCACACGCAGAGAAGTCCGAATTGCATTTAGCACACTGTGATCGAGTGACACCTCTCTCGTTGCATCCGTAACATGACGGGACGGGGTCGGCGGTGTTATCAATGTCCTGTTTGCCTTTAGCTGTTAACCTACGACACTCATCACGTGTATGTCCATAGTTTTTGCAATAGAAACAATATCGACGTCTGGCGTTTGCGAACGGAGTAGAAGACCCATGCGGTTGTAGAAACGACGGTGAGGGCGACACCACGGAGCAGCGAGGAGAACGGCGGTAGGTGCCGTGGGCGCTGGACTCAGCGGCGGGCGCAGGCGCCTTGGGGGCGCTCTGCGGTGGTAGTGGCGGCGCGGTCGTTGACTTCTGGGCGGCGGCGATGCTTGCGGCGTGACGAGAAGGTGGCGGAAACTGGCGCTGGCGCAGTTTGTTCTGAAGGCCACTAGTTGATAGACTCACGTCGTAAGATTCTTCTATCTCTCTAGACTTTCTGAGGAGTTTGTCGAATGTATCAATCTCCTCTCTTCTCAAACGCTCGCGTATTTTACTATGTAGTAGTCCATACACCATGTCCATCTGTACTTTGGTTGTCAGATCGTCCTTTGGCAGGCGTGATAGTAGCGCTCGAGTTTTAGAGATGAAGAGTTCTGTTTTCTCACTAGCTTGTTGTGGGTTGGCGAATAGCTCCTTGTATATTCGATGTGGAGGTCGGCTATCACCAAACGCACCTCTTAGGGATGTGAGGGCGTGGTCCCACTTGTTCATGGTGGACTTAACTCCTTGCCACCATGTCGCGGCTTCATGAGTTAACAACATTGACAGCCCACGTAGTGCATTAGTTTCGCTTACATTTGCACATTCTTTGTAGGCCTCTACGGCGTCTATAAATCCGTCAAGTGATTCGTCCGGCGCTCCGCTGTAGCGAGCCTTGCACGCGGCGAAGTTTCCATGTGCAGGTTGAGCGGGCGGGGGCGATGACCGCTGCGAGTGATTGAGAACTGTGTGCAGAAGTTTCTCAAATGTTTCCTCTTGGTTGCGTTGCCACGTGGACATCATTGCAGCCATATCGTTGATGGAAATGTTTCCCGTTGCAGTCGGCGGCGGGGAAGAATCGTCCTCTGCCGGGTCGAAATAGGCGGAATGTCGACGAGACTGACGACGTGTGCGCGGTTTTGTCATCTTGTATGATTCACAGAATTCAGGTTTACTCCAAAGCCACTAGTTGGGCGTCCATTTTAATGTTATTGAGTGGTGATTTCGTGGGTTGCTTTGTAGTAAAACTCAAACTCTGTAATATTCGTCTAATAGTTTAATAATTGTTTTTTAAACGTTCGCGTCACACATCCACCGCCAAAAAAGATGGAGGATTCGGCGTCGGTCTAGTCGCGCAGGCGCGGTGGGAGCTTGCGATGACGGCGCGGTCGTGGACCAATTACATTCGATTGAGGCGCGTCGCGTGAGACGCGTTGACGGGATTCAAGTGCGCGTTCCAAAGAGTTCCGTTGCGTTATAACCTAAAAATACTTATGTAATAAATATGTCGTTCACTCATTACGTAATTAATTCTGAAAGTTGCTAAGATTGATGGTTTTCATGAATTTGTTATTATTGAAAATATGTTCTTCCTAAATAATTTAATTATCGTACACTAATCGTTTTCATATATTAGTTATTTTCGTAATTAAATTTAAACTATTTTTCGTTGTAGATATGTCTCGTGACCATATCGCAAGTTTGACTACTAATTACTACTTCCTGTCGGTTAATTTCAACAATCAGCTGTATTGTTGAAATTACCGGACGGTGTCGTAATGTTGTCGACTTATACCAGCTACGTTCTATTCCGAGTCTGCGGATTTTCTGCTTTCGATCCTCTTCCGATCAAGCTGGCAAAGCCCTGGCCCAACAACGCAACAGCAAATTACATGAATGAAAAAACAAACAGAAAGTCCATGTCAATATTGTCATGTCAATGTCATTCGTATAAATTGTAAAAGTCAAACTGACAACTGTTTAATTCAGGAATCAGGATTGTAATAATAAACTACTACAAGATTTATTCAAACACAATATTTATGATTTTTATTTAGTGTGGACGTGAATAATTCAATCAGAAACCTTATACATAAAATTAACATCATAAATGGCTATGATTACATCGTGGAATCCTGAAAAAAAGCACAGCGATGTTGAAAGGTGAAGTATCGTCGTGAAGTAGCTTGTTAGTTTCTCGTGTCAATGTGCTGACGTAGATAATTATGATAAAATTTTACCTTCTATTCATATGCGATGGGAAAGTGCGATATAGAAGTAAAAGAAATAATAAAACCTGTAATTAAAATTTAGGCTCAGTTTTTGTTAAATTATTGTATATTTTTACATTTACATTATAAATAGCCAGGGCAAAAAATGCTCTGAATTTGCTGTAGTTGATTATAGTAGTTGTGGTACGACTGTAGGAGTGAGCCGAATTTATCGTAACAGGTATTTTGAGATAACAGACTGTACCTGTTACAAACAAACTTAAATAACATGGGGAAGGGGAGGAGGGGTATTACCCGCCCTTAAAAGGAAAAGGTGCGGAGCCCCTTTTCGAGTTTTTTTTAATATTTAATATTGGGGAAATTTTCCTCATTTTATGGATTAAAATTCATAAAATTCATAATAAGTGTAAAATATATAATATAGTAAGTGGAAACGTAAAAACAAAGAACTCCTTGGAGGGGAAGGGGTGCCACCCTAATCAGTAAAAATAGGGTTACTGATTCAGCGGGATTTCTGTATCTATTTCAAGACTGCAACATCTCCGTCATGGGAAGAGCAGCCCTTGCGTAACAAATCGCAGGAAGTTGTGTAACAAACCGTCCTTGCCTCCGCAGCTCCGGCTTGTTGCTCGCCTTCGGCGACTGGCCGCTCCGCCTCGTTCAATGGCTACGGTTTGTTACAGTGGATGGAGGCTGCTCTCCTTGTGCCTATGCGTCTCCCACTCTAAAAAACACTAGGGACTGACTTGTATCAGGTGGAGTTGGGGTTAATCAATTTGGTTCTATGAATTAAGTTGAACCTAACCTATTTTATTTGAAATCTACAGGGGGTAAACAAGGAATGTCAGTAAAACTTAACAGTTAAGTAGTAAGTTTGAACAACATAAAAATGTTATAAAAATGCATAACATTTTTTCAAAGTCTACTTTGTTTTTTCAAAGTTTGCTTGACTGATTGCAGTATGTTTGTGCACACAAATACTATAACCAACTGGCAGGAAATCAGCTTTAGTAAATTTGAAGCATTTTTTTTATTGGCTCTTGTATATATCTCCTGTCGTCACTACGATTTAACAGTATGTACAATTAAAGATAACATGAAATATAGTTTAACAAGCTTAATTTTGTAGATGGATATGTATATATCCTGCATATATAAATAGTAAGAAGACTCGGGCTGAGGGTCGAAAACTGCCGAAATCAAGTTGTGTGGAAAATCCAACCCACCAGGAAATAAGGGATGTATTGTTAACAACTGGTTTGCATGTAGGTGTAGAAAATAAATTGTATCCAAGAGAGAGGAGTAAGGTAAATATAGTTGAAAAGGAAAATTATACAACATAGTATTTCTTGCCTTGTCTTTTTTTTTCTTGTCTTTTTTTTTAAAAACATTGCCCTTACTTTAGGATAACATTATCCTGTGTTGTAAGGATGTTGTACAAACATAAATTACACGAGGACAAACATTCAGATACGAAACAACTATCTGTGGGTCGCACAAATATTTGTCCTGTGTGGGAATCGAACCCACGACCCCGGACACCGAAGCCAATAACTTGGCAAATATATTTAATAAATGCAAAATATTTTACTGTAGGAAATACTGTACAGAGGCAGAATTAGAGTGCAATTAAAAAATGATGATGGTACCCCATTAAAGCCAGAATTTGGAACCAGAGAGTCTGTCATGAAATATATTGGTGAATCAATTCCTAAACTTAAGACTCGTCAAAATAGGTAAGTTGGTAGCTACTGACCTATAATAATTAGTTTGCCCTTTTACTTTTTTTATGTTTACATATGTAGCTTATGTATTGTATAAGATAAATTATTCTGCATAATATGCATATATTATATAAGTGTTTACTTACACATTATATTAAACTTAATGTTATGTTGCATGAATTAACTAGAACTAGTCACCTTCTTAATTTGAATTCATAAGTAATGTTATGAGAATAACCACAAACATTCTGCAACTCATCTATAGGTCCTTTGTCAAATATAATCCTGAATTTTTTATAATCAAGTATTTTTATATGTTACATGTAGTGTTATTACAATTTTACAGACCTGCAGACCAACAACCACAATCTACTCAAGCTATTACAAAGAGCAAAGGAAAGAAAGGTCGCCGTTAGAACATGTCATTTTAAAATAAAAACAAATATTTAATAACTCTGTTTTATTTATATCGCTAAGGGATTCTTAATAATATTTCCATAAATAGTTCACCTATGGCCTTTCTGATTCATATATTTAGGATCTCGCTAAGTGAAAAGTATTTTAATAAAAATGCATCTAACATAAGGGAATATAAATAGAGATATATTTTCTTGTATTAGATGTGTTTTTATCCAAGTGAGGAGCAGTAAATAAGCAAACATAATAAAAAAAAATTGAAACTAGTACAGATCAACGACATTATTACTATTCCATTTCAATGTCATATTTCAGTTTACTTTTAAAATCATTATTGATACTACAAAAATATTTCTCTAAGTGTGGATGTGAATGGCTTTTTCAGTTAGTTTATTTTCGCCATTTACATCTCTAGCAATGCTGTAACCGTCAATAATAGTTACAACCGGTATCTTACTTTTCACTGGCTCACTTACTTCAAATGGAATTTTTAAGCCTACTGTTTCATTTGCTCTACGAATTTTTTTATTTTCTGCGGTATGTGAGCCATCTCTGCTAAGGAATCGTTTATGACTGGTGCTATTGAATGTGATATTGTTGTTGCTTTTTTCATAATCTTTGTAGGTAGAAGTTGGTTTTGTTTTATTGGTCTCACCTTCGATTGTATGTCGTCGTAGTCCTGAATCAATGTTTGGTATAGATATTGTGCTTTCTGTTTCGTGTCCTCTAATCTCAAGTTGATTTTGTCCTTCAAATATGTTTCGTCCAATTTCTTCGCGGGTATTTTCTTCTGCCGCATAGATTTGATCTTGAAGGGTTCTTCTAGCGTCTGGATTTCGGGTATATTTTCTGGATATTCTTCTAGAGGATTCATGGCTACTTGCATAGTTTCGTGGAGTGCTATTGGGATATTCTTCATGATATTGTGAAACGGTCGCATTTTCTGCGTGTCCGGCATAACGTTCATTATCTCCATAATCCCCGGCGAGATGTCTTTCAAAGCTTCCGTAATCTGTGGTGCCGCTTCTCTTACGGAGTCCATTATTGTTTCTCCTACTGCTAATGGTATTTCTTGTAAATAATAGGGGTAGGTTCTTATTCCGTTCGAAACTACGGAAGTTACCAGAGGCAGTATTATGGGCCGGGGAGGTGGTAGCCTTGGTAGTGATGTCAGTCTCGATGTCCGGGATCTTAACGGTGAAAGTCGTGAGAGGAGTAGTTGTCGTTTCTTGCGACTCAAGCTTTTCAGCGTTTGTATTTGGTGTAAATGTGCAGGAGCACTGTGCTTCGTTATTTTCGGAAATGCGATCATGTTTTTCGTTTTCATTTGTTGCAAGTTCATAGGACTCGCTTGTGTCTGTATTAAGAATATGATCAAACAGCAGAGTAAGACTTTTAAGCAGTGGAATATATTTACTGTTGAATATTTCATCGCTCTCTATTGCCCCTTTAGCAGTCTTATTTTTGTTTCTGTAAAACAGTTTTTGTTGTCTTTTTAATCGTTTCGGTTTAATAGGAGTCCTTATTTTAAAGGTTCTTTTGTATTGTAGGGAAGGTATCTTATTATCGGGTACAGAATTTACTGCAAAAAAAAAAAATTAAGTGAGCAAAGTATCAGCCTATACATTTCCCCCTGCTGGCCAAAGGCTTCCTTTTTACATTGTGTATTAGGAAATAGTAAACCACGCGGCCGCGGATTGGCAGACTTCATATATATTCGAAATGTATTTTTTTGTTATTATTTTGCAAATACGCAGGTTTCCTCACGATGTTTCCTTCATCCCTGAGCACGTGATAAGTCGGCGCTTATAATTAATAATTTCATTGGTACCGGCACCGTTATTTGAAATCAGGTTGCTTGAGTGTAATGAATTAAAAGTGAGATCCCGGACTGAGCTAGCAAAGCTAAAAAAATTATGTGTGGATTGAAAAGTTCGAGGCCCTGACATAATACATTTAAATACATAATATTTATGTTTATTTTACTACTGTCATTAGATATTAACTATAGGGAGATTTTCAAGACTAGGTATCTCGTATGGACAAATGCAAAACATTGTAGCCTATAGAACTTGGTTTTCGGTTGGTGGGTTCTCAGATTAATTTCAGTCGAGAAAAAAAAAACTTGGCTCACTTTCCCCTCGGCTGTTAGGGATGTTTGAGGTTGATCCGCATTTTTTTTTTCAAAAAATATGTCCTTAATACGACATGATACCCAGAAGTAAAACAACATCCCAAGTAGTGAAAAAATCTGGTGAATCAACTCCAAGGAAATGAAGCTAATGTTGTCGCGTGGCACGGGAATGATACGTGTTTTGTGGATGTAAAAAGTGTTTACGAAATTAACGAGAGAAGTTTGTGATCGCTCAGAATGAAAATTTTGTTTCATTAGGATAATGCTGGCAGTCACACACATTAGTTAAATCCATGGTTTCAAACTATTTCACTCATTCATAAGGTCATTCTTATGTATGTATTGTACTTTCGGACCCTGGTCTCTTTCCAAACCTAAAAATAAGGTGGGTAAAAATTTTAATCGAATAAAGCGGTTGAGCTTCTAATTTATCACTTTTTTGAAGAACTAGAAAAATAATTTCTTTAGACCAGGCACGAAGCTTTGGAAATCGGGTGCAGATAATCCAGAGAGCTAGATGGAAAATTTATCGAAAATTAAAAATGTTTTCATTCGATATAATTCCGGACACAATTTTTCAACCCCAATTAAAGTGGTAAATGCTTTACCTCCCGCCTTGGATGATTGAACTTTTGGTATTATTACAGGGGATGTTGGTTCTGGAATGAAAATAATCAATTTAAATGTTAATTTACTTTTTTTTAAGAGAACTTGTAGGTCCTTTAAAATTGACTAGTAAACTATTTTGTTGCTGTTCTGTTTTATAAAAAGTACGTCCATGTATTTGTTATTTAAAGAAAACACTTAACCTTGTTGGGTTAAGATACCCGCTGACTGGGATGACGTGTCCAAAGATTGCTTTCCTCGCACTTCTTCGGCAATGGCCTCGTTCAAAGAAAACGGCTTTGCCAGCAAACCTGAGTGAGACGTTGAAATAAACTATTAAGGTTTATAAAATAGGTACCTATACAATATTCTATAATAAATATATGCATACGAAATATGCATATATCTTCTTTTATATATATAATTCTTCTGTACGTGTGTATGTCTTAATGAATTGAATGTCTATGATTTTAATGAATTTTTTGTGTGTCTTCAGGTGGATTCGAGAATGGTTTAGATTCACAATTCGGTCCACTACAATGTTTTTTTTGTATTTTTTTTTGTTTATAAGTTGCTGTCGGATTTAAGTCGTGTGTACAGGACAAAGTCTGTCGGTCCGCTTGTTTATTATAGAATATTTTCTTTCATAATGATTTTGTGATAATGTTAGTTCATACGTTAATGGAAGTGGTCGTGCCGTTTTTATATAAAGCACAAGAAAAAAAGATTTTGTAATACGTTAAAAAAATAAATTGTGTGTTGTCACTGAAATAAAATAAAAACTTAGCTGACACATTGTAAAATCATCATCATATAAAAGACAAAAGACTGACCACGGAACTTTATTAACCATTTCTACGAAACTTGCTATTGTTAAGTAAAAATGAAGAAGAGCGACGACTTATTTATCTGTGATAGAGCCCCGCAGCAATGTTTAAAGTTGACCGAATAGCACGTTCGTCTGGAGGACTATCGCAGATTTCACTATTTTTGAAGCTTTCAGTGTTTTTAAAGCTTAACGAAATATCTGCAACCTAATTGTCAAGGGTCGCGTTTCTCATCAGGTTAACATTTTCTCCCTTATCATATAAAATGACTGTTCAATACAACAATAACAAATTTCGAATACTACATTTTCAATTTTGTTTAATACTTACTAATGGGCTTATTAACGCGCCAGTAACTTTAAAATTTGTACGAACTTTACGGACGTATGTCTTATGATCATGCTTTTATTTCGCTTTGTCTACGGTAACAAGCACGTACGATCGTTCGTTATTGATTAACTGACTAAATTCGTGACATGTAGGTTTGTTATTATTATTTTCAAGCGACTTCATAAATGGAGGAGGTTCTCAAATGCGCCAAGCATTGCTTCAAATGCTAAAAAACAATGCAGATAAACGAAGTTGAGAACTTCGTCGGTGTGGCGTTCAGCCGTTTAGCTTAGTGGTTAGAGCGTCAGGGCGCGAATCCCGAAGACGTGGGTTCGATTGCCACAGCGGTGAAGAAAACTTTTCGTTTCTTTCTTTAATCTTAAGTTCAGAGATTAGCACTATAAAAATTTTAATTTCTAAAAAGCAATGGCGATACCTCTCGTTCGAATTATCGTTGCAAAACAATATTCGAAATTGTTTGTATGCTGGAAAGGATATAACATTGGATGCGCCAATCAATTGCTTCAAATGCTAAAAGTTGAGAGTTTCGTCGGTGTGGCAATCAGCCGTTTAGCTTAGTGTTTAATTTATATTATACTAGCGACCCGCCGCGGCTTCGCACTGGTGCAATGTATTATATACATATAAACCTTCGTCTTGAATCACTATCTAGTAAAAGAAAACCGCATCAAGATAAGTTGCGCAGTTTTAAAGATCTAAGCGTACATAGGGACAGACAGACAGCTCGACAACTTTATTTTATACTATGTAGTGATAATAATTAATGAATCCTTATATTATGTATTTAATTTTTTTTATTGTTGAGGTAGGGTTACAAACAAAATAATATATAATAAAAGAAACGAATACACATAATTTAGAGACTACGTTAAACATAATAAAGATCATAACCTGCAGGACTACTGACAACATAATAACACTAACATGTATTAAACATTTTTACAAATAGAATGATGTATACAAACATACAAATATATTACATACATACATGCACACACAAATACATAAACATATACATACGTACATACATAAAAGACTGGACTCATTCTGCCGATAACTTTTTGAGTAGGTGCTTCCATCCTTATTTTGAGTGGTAGTCTATTCCATAGGAGAATATATCGTATGAAGAAAGAAGATTGCATGAAATCAAAACTGTGAAAAGGAGAGTGGAGAAGGCGATTATTCATCGAGCGAATTATTATTTACGTTACAAAGGTATTGAAAATGGTGAGAAGAGAAAGAGAAGAAAGAGAGTAAGATGGAGTGGACGAAGAATCCAGGAAAGAATAAATGGGGGTTAGTGCTCTTAAAAACGTCTTTAATGAATACGTAAACATTGAAGTTGTGACCGATAGGTAGACATGGTCTATGGTTACTTACGAAGATTGAAAATGAATCAAATGCAGTTATTCAGAATGCTTTAATTCGTACATATTTATAAATATGGTTCCAGTTTGTAATGTGTTTTATTTTATTGCATAAAATTATTTTATTCTAAACGGACAATAGAAAGACAATTCGTCAATTTTGTTGGTAATCCTAAATTTTATGATAGAATCTTAGATTAGTAGTGGAATTAACGGTAGGTAGTAGTACTATTTTGACAATTAATAAATCAGTTTAATTCTTCTATATTGATTAAATATAATATTAGAATTTCGATTTTAGTTGGTAAAGGTGATTATGAAAAAAGGAATTTAAATTGTTAATTGTGGTAATATACCGCGTAGTATAGGGTCAATGGTCTGTGAGTCAAGTCAAATTCAGATCTACTTAGTGACGAAGTAACAAATAGAATTTATAAAAATGTTTCATCGTTGAAGATTACATACCTACGAAATTTTAGTTTTTTATGCGTAAATATATAAATGCTAAATATAAATGCAGTTTGCTACGAAATGATTGCACATCAGCGTCAGATATTGATTTCGGTATCCGCTTTCTACTCAACTTATTTAAAGTTAAAACTTCTTATCGATGAACAAATGGAATCACAAAATTAAGTTAATGAACTTATAGGGGTTCGAACCCAACATTGGTGGTGAAAAAACATTGACATACCAAACATAAACATTAATTTTAAAATAAATCACAATATCAGACATTTGAAAATTAAAAAAATGCGTTTATTTTTCACCTTATATGATGTACTGTTTGTATAACAATTTACAGTATTTTCTTCATAACATAAAAATCCATAAAGAAAGCGATGAGCTGTAAAATTGTGACTGACGTATATTTTTTGCCTTGAGAAATTCTTTTTGTAACGTTTGAAAGCGTCTTAAGAGAGCTGGGATTAGGTTTGACAGCTAACACTCCATTAACCCGTCACATTTAAAAAAAATAATAAAAAAGACTTAAGTGAGGCAAACGTAAAACGACTTCATACTTACATGGGATCAAAATAACACAATTAATCACGATTGAGTAATGTCGTATACGGATTTCCATTTTCTAACATTTTTGTTTACATGTGAGGCACGACCACGTAATGATATTATATTCGCCGATCGCGTTGTTTTTATATTTATGTAACCTTGGATATTTTGCGATTCCTCGGATCAGCATTATTTCGTATTAAGGCTACATAGCTTACCATCTAAGAGTATAAAATATTGTTGCTTTTACGTTGATGTGAACTTCTAGACTTCATACGATTATCGTACTTGAATTGCTAATATTTGTTAAAAGTTTTTGTGATAGTTCTTCGGATCAGGTCAGATCCTCGTCGTTTAGAAACAGTCACTTGATATGATCACTGAAACTTCTATTTAAATGAATTATTTGATATCAGAGTTCCCAGAAAAATTGAGGTCAGTTATAGGAATAGCAAAGGAAAAAAAATGTGTGGTAAATGTATAATAAAAACAAAAAAATAGTTTTTTCATAATGGATTTTGCCAAATCAAAATGTATAGCGAGAAATATAATTTACAATGATTAAATATTGATGTTGTTATGTATTTCTTTCGGTTATCTATCTATTTTAAAAAAAAGTATTGTATACGGTCATAAGGAAATTTATTTTGTTCAGTATTGGGGCAGGTTTTATTAATAAATTTCTTTTCATGTCTGTGAGTATTTGAAATTATTTAATTAAACCAATATCGAGTAATACGAGAGAGAATACGCTTAGAGGCAGTTTTATTGCTAGTAGTAAGTGTGAACGTCTTGGAGCGGGCTTGACCCGTCATATGAGGGATCTCGGGCCTTTCATTTCCGCTCACTACTTTATATAGATGGGGGGCTTCCCGTGCTTAGACAGTTTGTGGCAGTTTATCGCTTAGTTTGACCACTATTATTTGCTAACATTGCATCCAATACAACAACATTAAGCGGGAATTATTGATTATCCAGACAGTGGCGGTCTAAGCTCTTCAGAGGCCTGGAGCAGCAAAGCTAAAATGAGGCCCCTCGTATAAGAAGTTGATCTGAATTTACAAGCTTTTTACTTAAACTTTTCAATCCACATTCGTATAAACGTTTATGTTTAATAAATTAAAAAATTGTAAGAGAAATTTTAACTGGACTTAAAAAGAAACAAACATAAAATATGAATTCTCGATGAGAAAAATTAAATGAGGATCGATGGGAAAAAATCCATTACTAAAAATAAAGTAATATGTATTTTTTATTTTTAGCAGCTCTGTGCTTTGTTTTAAAAGATTTGATTTCAGTGAAGTTCTTGAGTAGTTCAGTAAAGTCAAGGTACGAAAACACATAAGATATTATTATATGCTTTAATAGCTACATACTTACGGGTTACAGTAAGTTAGTTTTTTAAATCAAGGTGATCTTTTTAATTGGTTATTTATTGTATTACTATTTTTATTATCTATAATGATAAGATATCCTTTAGCAAAGGGCCGTGGATAGTAAAAATACGAAGTGGAAAGCAAATTTGAAACTGGAACTAAAACTGTATAGACATTAGAAATATAAGCTGCTCTGGCGTAGCTTGCCTTAAACTGGCCCTGTATCAAAATGTGTCGGGAGGCCTAGTTGAAAAATAAAGAAGTTTTATCAAATAAATTTAATATTAATTGTACTTCATCTCGCCAGAAAGTAATTTTACTGTTTATTTCATGCCATTACTGCGCAACCTCGTGTATGGCATTATTATATCGTGTATGATATTGTATAAGATATAACTTTTTTTTGGAACGAATGACCTAAGAGATTTAGCCAATGCCGTATCGGGGCCCTAGGAAACACAAATTTGGGGCCCTGATGGAAAGTAAAAAAAGTGAATGTCAAAAACATTTTTCTGCTATTATTTCTGTTATTATAAACTTCTGCCGGAATATATACCAAAAATAGAGGAAATTTTATAGTTTAAGCGAATAAGTAGGCCATGCGGGGCCCCTCGTGACGACAGGAGCCCTGGGCACGGGCCCCGTGTTCCCGTACGGTAAAGACAGTACTGGATTTACTATGATTGTGGAATTTTTGATTTCATCCATTCGAGGCCTCTGTAGCCCGGGGGCCCCGTATCATTGATACGGCTGATGCGACGATAGTTACGCTGGTTACGCCCCTGATTAGCAGTAGTAGTAATTACATTTATAACTTGTAAATTACCAGTTCAGACTATATTTATTTAGTGTTATTCGTATTTTATCTGAAAGAAATAATATTTGTATGGACCAACTCCAAACTCTTAGATAGGCACAAGGCATAATTTGAATGCCCTGTTTAGGATTTCTTCAAGGAAACATGTAGGCGTTTGGAGGTCCCTCAAGACCGGGGGCCCGGGGCTGGCCGCCCCTTCCGCCCCCCGGTTAGTCTGTCATTGTATCTATCTATAACTATTAAAACTAATGCCATATGTGTTTGTTCACTGTATAAATCACTTTCTCTGTTGCAGTGTAAAGAGGGACAAGAGCACAATGCAAGCAAAAGCAAGACACAAGCACAACATTTCTCATTTATTTTATTATGCGTGTATTATCACGGTTAGATTAAGTTTCCACAGCTCAACTGCTTTATGAAGCGTCATCTTGACGGCCGTCCACTATATATACCATTGGCTGGGAGTGGTGAGGAATGTCAATGAATGCAGGTGCATCTTTTGCTTTGTGTGTGTTGTGTTTGTGGTATGTTCGTTTTCCCTTCTACTACGTTACGTTCGGTTTCGGTATGCTATAAAGCTGTAGCTTTTTTCGAGACAACCTAGAAGGAAGAGGGAAAAAAGAGCGTTGAATGTAATGCGTCAAAAAGATAGTTAGACCCAGGAGTGCTTACAAAACTATTTTATTAATACCGTCTGTAACTTGAAGCAGTACGAGGCTTAGCCGTTTAAATACACTATGGACCTATTTCGTGGTATAAGTTGAATAGTTTTCGGCATATGTGATAGCTACATTGAAACTGTAAGCTGTACGCTAGCCACCCTTTTCAGAATCATCAAATAACATCAACACAATAAACCAATCTTCTCCGAAAGGTTGTTGATAAAGTAAATTTCTTTCTTACACCAAGATAAGAGCGATAGACAACATAATGGACGCTAATAATTATCTTTTTCATTTTCTCAAGCAATAGAAATGAAATTCACTCACAAAGATATCATTCCCTTGGGGGGCTTAAAACAGCTCGCTTGCCTGGTTTCCTTAATCTGTTTCACGAGAGAAGATTTATTAATATTGTATCTAACATAAAATGAAGTTGTTTAACGCCAACTTCATATAAAATTAAATTGAAATTCCGTATTATATCCAAAAAATAGTAATGTAATTACGATACATTATTTTTGCGGACATGTTAATTATGCTTGCTATGCCATCCTTCATAACATTAATAATTTTTTAATAATTCCTAATTATACCATAGTCAAAATTGTAATAAAACTCTCAGCTATTTTACTAACTACTAAAACACACTATCAAGCTTAATGCTATTATTTACTTTGTGATATGCAGCTAAAAGGATTATAGATCATTTTAGCCATTGTTGTTTTTATGATATGTGTCAAGTACAATTGACCATTTTTGGTGGACTCTAACGATGTACATGTATTTATTCTGATTCCAATTCCAATTTTAGTATAAAATAGTGGCTCCATCAATATATAAATTGATGATTCAGCCAATGTCAAGGTGGAATAAAACGAAGAGCAAGTAATATAATTAGCCGGTAATATTGACTTTCATACGGTAGGTAGACTATACACTATACGGTTGAGTTATCTGAACAAAGGACAAAACAATAAGTTAGTTTATACATATGTATTTTTTCATATATAATACATTAAAAAAAGTGATTTGTTAAGTACAAAATCGTTTCATATTGGGCTTAACAAATAAATTTTTATCAAGAAAATTAGTTAAAATAGAGGTGGAAGAATAAGGTTTAAGGCCTAACGTTATCGACACGAACATGAGTATTTATAAGATTTTTAGACGGTCACGCAAATTAAATACGCGCTACGCATTTATTTACTTAAAAAATGACTGACAATTCCAAATATCTCATCATATTTTAAGACCTTAATTAAAATGTGACGTGACTTAATTACTAAATTTGACGCAGGCTTGTTATCCCGACGTGTTTACGAATCGCCGGTCGATGACTTGGATACCAAATGAAGCATTACTTGGTATTGCTTCATTCACCAAAGAGTAAAGAAACGTGAGTCGAAAATACTATTATTATTATTATTAGAAAATACTATTATATTATATTAAAATACTAATAATTTATTATTTTAATTTTACTGATATCTGTATACTAATTCCTTAACGATATCGAGTCCTTATCCGATACCCTTTTGAACAAAGCGTAAGCATCATCCGATAAAGGTTTAAGTAAATATACTAAAAGTTTTTCACAGCTAGATGCACATTTAATTTCTACACAGTAATTTTTTTTAAGGAATCCTGCAAACAATGTATAATCATGAGTTGATAAAATTAGATGACAAAAACGATGGTTGTTTATTGATTTAAATATTTATGATTTTTTTTGTTTTCATAGTTTTAAAATATGTTTGATTTCCAATAAATTGGGGCATACGTATATATATAGCTATAGGTGAATGGTGAATAATGAATTATGTTTATGTTTAAATATAACATATAAGGGAATGTAACATTTAAGAAAACTCTAAACATGTCCAGGGCAGGAAGCGTCAAACTACACGAGCCGGACGGCGGAAATGAAACACTTGAGATATCTCACATGAGAGGTCATTTTCTGGAGTAAAAAAATCTGTTTTAAACCTTTTTTTTAATATAAGAAGAAAGGCGTGAAATATTAAAAGGAAATGATTAACATAATGTATATCATGATTTTTAAAATTTAAATTGTTTTTAACCACTGAAGATTCTCTATAAAATACGACAATGTCTTAGTAAAGACCGTAAAACATTTGGGGAAAATTTTTATTTTGTCTAAGTTTATTTCTCTGATGTGATATATGGTGATGGTTATACGCACGAACGGAAAAGCTGA